CTGAACTATACCCCCAAATTCCCCCCTCACCTGAACTTCTAACACCCCATACCTGGATTCCTTCCCTCTCCACCAAACTCCCCCCCCTGAACCCTCCCATACCTGAACTTCCCTCTCACCTGAACCCCCCTGAACTCCCCCCCCTCACCTGAACCTTCCCTGACCTGGACTCCTCCTACTAACCTGAAATCGTCGCCGCCCTCCAGCAGCCGCCGATATGTCGCGATCTCGGCCTCGAGGCGGTCCTTGAGGCCGAGCAGCTCCCGGTGCTGCTCGTTCTGCCGCTGGAGCTGCGCCCGCACGTCCCGCAGCTCTGCCTCGGCCGCGCTCACCTGGAGCTGCACCTGCGCCAGGTGAGCCCCGGCCCGCGCCTCGGCCTCGGCCAGCGCCGCCTCCAGACCCATGTTCTGCAGGGATTGGGGGGTGAACGCGGTTTTGGGGGGTTCACTTTGAGCTGAGCCTCAGCCTCGATCATGGCAGCCTCTAAATCTGTGTTGTGGGGTGTTCGTGGGGGAATTAGGGGGTTTTGGGAGAGCCAGAACCCCTAAAATGGGGGGATTGGAGGATCTGTCACCTTGGGCTCAGCCAGACCCGCATTCAGGGGAATGTAGGGGTTTTGCAGGGGTTCACCCCAAATCCTGGGGGATCACCCTGAGCTTTGGTCAATGCAGACCCCAAACCTGTGTTCTGGGGAGATCAGGGGAAGATTAGGGAGTCTTGTGGGGGTTCACCCTGCCCTGAGCCTCAGCCTCAGGCAGTGCCACCTCCAGCCCCAAGTTCTGGGGGATTGGGAAGGTTTGGGGTCGGGGTGGGGATCAAGACCTCAAAAATGGCTGGAGTTATGGGTTGGGGGTTGGAGGGGTTTTGGGGCTCTGGAGCCATGGATTAAGGGGAGCTAGGTTTTTTTGGAGGGGGAGTTGGGAATGTGAGGCTGTGAATTGAGGGATATGGGAGGGGGTGGGGGGGTTTTCTGGGGGAGTTTGGGGAATTTTGGGGTACCTGGTTGCGCAGGGCCTCAAGGTCGATCTCGAGGGTTTGCAGTGAGCGACGCAGGGCCCCAACAGTGCCTCGTGCCACGTCCAGGTCCTTCGTGCTCTGCGTCACCTCCAGGGTGGTCTCCGTGATCTGGGAGGGAAAGGAGGGGTCTGGGGGGGCCTGGGGACAACCTTGGGGTCTGGGGGGCAGCAGCCTTGGTCCCACCCCACCATGGGCACCCCAAGTCCTGGAGGGGAGGTGGGGGAGTGAGACCATCCCAAGAAGAGCCAGACTCAGGCATGGGACCCTAATGGGAATCCCACATTGTGGGGGTGCCCTAGGAGGGGCTCCAGACTTGCACCTTGGACAGAGGCCATCCCAAAAGTGTCCCCAAGGTTGGACCAGGAACCTCCTGGAGCAGTTCGCCCCAGGACTCCCCCTGAAAATGTCACGAGTGTCCACCCAGGCCCCCCCCCGGATCTGCCACCCCTCCTCCCCCTGGCTTTGGGGGCTTCTTTGGGGACCTCCCATGCTAGCCTGGGGACACCCCCCAAAAGGGGTTTCCCCTTTTTTGGGACCCTCCGGTGGCTCCCCATTGGGGACACCCCTATGGAGCATCATTGGGGACCCTTGCATGTGGACTGGTGGGGGTTTGGGGTCTCCAACTCCCACCCCCTCTGCTTCTCCAGGTCCTCCAAGTCCATTGTCCTGGATCCACTGCTCCCCCAGGATCGTTTTGGGGCTGGTTTTGGGTGGGATTTGAGGTTTTTTAGGGTTCCTTACCTGCTGCCCCCACTGCTTCTCCAGGTCCTCCAGATTTTTCTGGGCCAGGGCATCATACTGAGCCCGCAGCTCTCCCAGAACCTTCCCTAAATCCTGCGACTGCGGAGCGTCCACCTCCACCGTCAGCGCCGACTGCGAGGCCTGCGCCCGCAGGTCCTGCACTTCCTGGAGGCAGCACGGGTCAGTCTGGGGCCCCACAGCCCCTCCCGAGCCCCTCAAGTCCTCTGGACCCACCTGGTCGTGGTCCTTGCGCAGCAGGATCAGCTCCTCGCGCAGGGCCTCGATGTCCCCCTCGAGCTGCAGCCGCGTCATGTTGGTGTCGTCCAGGACCTTGCGCAGCCCGGCGATGTCGCTGTCCACCGACAGGCGAATGGCCAGCTCTGCCTCGAACCTGGGCACGCCATGGGAACGGAGGGCCGGGGTGGGACACGGAGCCGGGCCAGCCTTGTGCCCATTCGTTACTTTGTCCTTGTCCTTGGCCCTGTTTCTGTCCCTGATGTATCCTTGTTCCCCACCGCCATCATCAGCCCCATTTCCATCCTCAGCCCAACACAGCCTTTTCCTCATCCTTGTTCAATCCCATCATCCTCAGCCCTGTTTTCATCCCCAACACATCCTTCTCCCCATCCCTATCCCATCATCCTCATCTTCATCCCCATTACCATCCCCATCACATCCCTTTCCCCATCCCTGTCCCATCCCCATCCCATTCCCATCATCCTCATCCTCATCCTCATTTCCTTCTCAGTTTCCCTTCCCATCCTCGTCCTCATCTCCGTTTTCAATTCCATCCTCACCCTCATCTCATTTCCATCTCCAGCCCCACCTGACCTCATCCCATCAGTCTCCATCCATGTTCTTATCCCTGTCTCATCTCCTCTGCCACCTCCACTCATCCTATCTTTGTACCTGTCCCCATTCTCATCCTTATCCTTCTCCTTGTCTTCATCCCTGTTTTCATGCCCTGTTCCCAATCTCATTCCTGTCTCATCTTATTCCTCATGCTCATCTCCAGTTCTGTCCCATCCCTGTCTCCATCCATGTTTCCATTCCTGTCCCATCCCAACTCTCACCTACAGCCGTCCCCATCCCTGTTCTTTTCCCTGTCCCCATCCAGTTTCCCATCCCCATTCCCACTCCTGTTTCCACCTTTGACCTTGTCCTCATCCTGATTTCCATCCTCAGCCCATCCCTGTCCCTGTCCACATCCAGTCTCCATTCCCACTCCTATTTCCACCCTTGTCCTTGTGCACATCCCTGTCCCATCTCCACCCCATTCCAATCCCTGTACCCACCTCCTTCTTACCCATCCCCATTCAGTCTCCATCTCATTCTCATCCTCACTCCCATTGCCACCTCTTCTCCCCCTAGTCCTCATCCCCATCTCCATCCATTTCCACCCTATACCCATTCCCACTCCTGTTTCCATGCTGGTCTCCATCCCATCTCCCTCACCATCCTTATGCCCATTCCCATCCCCACTGTTACCATCCTTGTCCTTGTCTTCATCCCCATCTCGTCTCCATTCCCATCCTCATCCCCATTCCCACCCCCATCCTCACCCCCATGCCCCCTCCGTCTTCCTCCCCATTCCTCCCCAATCCCACCCCTATTCCCATCTCCACTCCCACCTTGTTTCCAACTCCATTTTCACCCCATCCCCATTCCCACCCCTATTTCCACCTCATCTCCACCCTCTTTTCCATCATATTCCCACCCCCGTTCCCATCCCCATTCCCACTCCATCCTCGTTCCTGTGTCACCCCTGCCATGTTCCCACCCCCTTTACTCCCAGTACTCCCATTACTCCCAGTATTCCCATTACTCCCAGTATTCCCAGTATTCCCAGTATCCCGCCCTCACTTGACGCGGAAGTCGTCGGCCGCCAGCCGAGCATTGTCAATCTGCAGCACGGTGCGTGCATTCTCCACCGTGCTCTCCAGGATCTGGGAGGGGACACGAGGACACCCGTGGATACAGGGGACACACGGACATGGGGGCACACGGGCACGGATATGGGGACATGCCCGTGTCCGTGTGGACACCTGGGCATGGGGGCATGGACACGAGGGGACACGGGGAAATGGGGACTCATGGAGGGGGGCATGGGGAGACACGTGGACATGGGGGTGCACGGATGGGGGACGTGTGGAGGGACACACAGACATGAGGGGACACACGGACACGGGTGGACACACACAGACACGGAGACACAGGTGAACACATGGATACGGGAGGGACAGGTGAGTGGGACACATGGGCACGCCAACACAGGGACACACACAGGGACGCAGGGACACGTGTCACCGTCGCCGTGGCAGGATGACTTCCCCGGCCCCCCTTCCCAGCAGGGCCTCGCCCCGGAAAAGCTGCGATAGCCCAGCGTGGGGGCGGGGCGGGGGCGCCCAGGTGTGTGGGGGGGAGGGGGGGTGCCGGTCACCTTGAGGAGGCTCCAGGAGGGGCTTTGGGGAGACGGGGGGGTTTAATTTACCCCAAAATCGGGGTAAGAATGGAGGGGGGGCTCCTTCGACACTGCCCCGCCGCGGTGGCCTTGGTCACGTCCCTTTGCTCCCCCTGTGGGGAGAAAACCCCCCCGAGCCCCCCACCGGCGGGACTTACAGACCTCCCCCAAGCCCCCCTATGCCCTCCCACAGAAACAAAGTTCAGCTGTTTCCCTCCCCAGTTAATGTTTAACCCCAACACCCCCGCGCCCCCACCTTGTCCCGTAGCTCCTCTATCAGCTCCCACTGGGGGCTCCAGTCGTGGGCGCTGGGTCCCTTTTTGGCCATAAACTCTCGGATTTGGGTCTCCAGGCGCCGGTTCTCCCGCTCCAGTCTCCGCACCTGCTCCAGGTACGTGGCCAGGCGGTCGTTGAGGTCCTGCATCGCCTCCTTCTCGTTGGCCACGGCCCCGGAGCCCCCCAGGAGGACGCTGCCCCCCAGGCCGGACCCATAACCGGCCCCATAGCCGGCCCCAAAGGCGCCCCCGGCGCTGCTCAGGGTGCGGCTGACGGAGATCCGGGACCCCGCGCCCCCCGCCCCCGCGTACACGCTCGCGGCGCTGCCCAGGGGCGCGAAGCGGCGGCCGGGGGCGATCCCGGCGGTCCCGAGGGTCCCGATGCCGCCGGAGCGGACGGAGCTGGAATAGACGGTGCGGCGGGAGAAGCTCATGGGGTCGGCGGCACGACGGCGGGAGCCTGAGAGTGGCACGGACGGACGCGCGGATGGAATTCCGGGCGGGAATTCTGGCCGGGATTTATAGCCGGGAGCGGCCCCACGGCACCTCCCCACGGCCTCGCTCCCGGGAAGGGAAGGTGCGGCTGGAGCCGGCCCAGGGCTTTGTTCCTGCGGGGACCGGCCCCAAAACCCGAGCAGTGGGGTGTGAGGGGAAATAATCAGCCCCAAAACTCGTGGGATGTGAGGCAGAGGTTTGGGAGTCTGACCCAGAACTGGGAAAGGGAATCAACCCCAAAACGTGTGGGGTGGGTGGAAGGGGGTATGACCCAGAACTGTGGGGTAGGGGGCAGAGGGAAAGGAATCAGCCCCCGAACTGGTAGGATGAGGGTTGGAGGGATGGATGTCTGACCCAGAACTTGTGGTATGTGTTCAGAATGATGGGATCGACCCCATAACTGTGGGGTGGGGGACAAAGGAATAGGACTTGGCCCCAGAACTGTGGGATGTGGGGCAGAGTCAGCCCCACACATTTTCGGGTCACCACAGCCAGCCCCACATCACCCTACTGATCTTTGCACTGCTGCAGCCCCTGCCTGATCTCTTTTACCCTATTCCTGGCCTGTTTTACTCAGTTTTCCCCATTTTGCCCCATTTTGTCCTATTTTTCCCTGTTCATATCCCATTCACTAATTTTTGCCCACTTTTGAGCCACCCCTGCCTTGCTTTATCTCATTTTTGTCCCATTTTTGCCCCTTTCTCATTTTCCCAAATTTCCTCCATTCCTGTCTTTTTCTCCATTTTACTCCATTTATGCAAAACCTTCCCATTTTGCTGTTTTGCCTCATTTTGCTGTTTTACCCCATTCCTGTCCCATTTTACTATTTTTTGCCCTATTTTGTAATTTTATCCCATTCTTGTTCCACGTTTACCCTTTTTGCCTGATCTTGCCCTGTTTTATCCCATTCATGTCCCATTTATCCCTTTTTGCCCGATTTTGCCCCATCTCTGTCCAGTTTTGCTGGTTTCCCCCCATTTTTTTGCCGTTTCTGCCCATTTTGTCCTTCCCCTTTTTCTTCCATTTCTCTTTTCACCCACGTTTTTCTCTGCTTTGCCCCAATCCTTCCCCTTCCATTCCCTTCGTTTTGCCCCGTTCCTGCCCAATTTTCCCCCACTTATGCCCAATTTTATCCTGTTCTATCCCATCTCCCCCTTTTTGCCCCCTTTCCCTTCTTTTTTCTCCATTTTCCCCGCGGGGTCCCCGAGGTGCCAGACCCGGGGGTCTCGGGGGTCCTGCCCGGGGTCCAGCGGCCTCGTCCCTCTTTGGGGACCCCCTGGGAGCCCCTGAAGGGCGCGGGGCAGGGGCGGGGGTGTCGGGGCTGCTCCCACCCTGGGCCTTATCGGGAACATTCCGGGCGTTCCGCGTGGGTGACGTGTCCCACCCGTGTCCCTCTGCCCCGCCGTGTTCCCCCTCCCGCTCGCCCCTGTGTCCCCCGGTCCCCAAATGTCCCCCGTGTCCCTGTGAGCCCCCGGTGTCCCCGCACGTCCCCCCAGTGTGTTCCTCCCGTGTCACCCGGTATCCCCCAGCGTCCGCTCCTCGCGTCCCCCCGTGTTCCCCCGAGTCTCCCCCATGCCCATAAGGTCTCCCATCCCCCCGTGTCCCTCCGTGCCTCAGTGTCCCCATCTGATGGCGGGGGGGGGGGGGGGGGCGTCAAGGGTTTAGGGGGTCCCCACTGCTCCTTGGGTGGTCGTGGGGATCTGGGGCAGTGTCCTGCAGGGTCTGGGGCCCACCCTACCCCCCCCTTCCAGGGTTATCTCTGGAAATTCCTTCCTGATAAGACGGGCGGGATTTAGGGAGGGAGCTGGAGGTGGTGGGAGCCTCTGGGGGGGCGGAGGGGGGAGCAGATCGTGTCCCCTCCCGGCCCTTGCAGGTCTGGGGGGGCTTGAGACCCTCCCTGTGGGGCTGGGCTGCTCAGACCTATTGACATCCCCCGGTGGAATCTGGATGGATTTGGGGAGGAAGGGAGGAAGGAAGGAAGGAAGGAAGGAAGGAAGGAAGGAAGGAAGGAAGGAAGGAAGGAAGGAAGGTCCCTCCCTCCCTCTCGATCCCAGTGCAGGATCCCAAGCCCGTGGGTGCCGCCCTCCCAGTGCCCAGCGTGTGCCGCCCTCGTGCCGGGCAAGTCTGGGCTGGAGACACCACTGCACACACTGGCACCTGTCAGACCCACCTGCACACACCTGAACTTCCATCCATCCATCCATCCATCCATCCATCCATCCATCCATCCATCCATCCCATGCCCTTTTGGATATGTTTTCACTATTTTGCCGCTGAGTTTGGCGCTGGGGACAGGCCCTGGTGAGGGCTGGAGCCCCATGTTGTGATTTGGGGACAGGGGCTGGGGTCAGGGGTTGGGGGAATAGTTTGGGGTCACAGATTGGGGATGTAGTGCTGGGGATGCAGACTGGGGGACACAGGGTGGTGACATTGGTCTGGAGACCCAGACTGGGGGACAAGCTGGGGACATGGGCTTGGGTCAGGGGCTGGGGGCTGAGACTGAGGGGATCCGGACTGGGGTTGGGGGTCGGGGGCCCAAACTGGGTGACAGGACTTGGTGCCATGGAGTCAGGGACTCAGATTAGGAGACTCAGGTGTGGGGACACGGTGGGGAAGGGCTGGGGACACTCCCTAGGGAGTGTCGGTGGGTCTCCTACTTCGGGAGGGGGCGCGGAGGGGGGTGGGGAGCAGGGACCGCATTTTGGGGTAAGCCCACCCCCGCGTACCCTCCCGTCCCGATGCCGGTGGATCCCGGCGATCCCGCCAATCGCACGTCCCGAAGGGGTTAAAGCTCCGGTCCCTCCCCCCGCTTCTCCTCCCCCGGCTCTGGGGTAAACCCGAGAACCAACCCGGGAACCAAACCGGGAAGGCGCCCGGAACCCGCCCGGCCGCTCCGCCCGGCCCGGCCCGTCCTGCCCCGACCCGTCCGGCCGGTCCTGCCGGGGCGGCCGCCGGAGCCTCCCTGCCCCGAGCGCGGCCTTCGGCCTCGTCCTCCTCAGCCGTCTCCAACCTGCTCCAGCCGTCCTCATCATCCTGAGCGTCTTCAGCCTCTTCCAGCCGTCCTCGGCCTCCTCCAGTCGTCCTCGTCCTCCTCAGCTGAGGACCTTCTCCAACCCTCTTCCAAACTTGCACCAATCTCCTCATCCTCCTTCTAACCTTCTCCATCCTCCCTGCAGCCTCCTCATCCCCCTCAGCCTCCTCCAACCCACTTTCCAACCTCTTTCTAAACTCCCTCCTATCTCCTTCCCCAACTTCCAACCTCCTCCCAATCTTCTCCACCTTCCCCATCCTCCGGCCGCCCTCCTCCTTTGGCACCTCCCGAGCCCTTGGCAGGCTCTCTCCAGCCGCTGTTCGCACTCTCCCCTCTCAGATGTCGGTCTCCATCCCCCGGCAGCCGCTGCGGAGCAGCTCGGCCGTTCCGGGCCGCTCCTTCTCGTCCCGCTCCTTCACGGCCGCTCCGGCGCTGAGGATGAGCACGGCGCCGGCTCTCGGCCCTTACGGGGGGCTCCGGGGCGGCTCCGGGGGGCTCGGGGGACCCTCGTGGGTGCCGGGCGGGGGCATCACGGCCGTCACCATCAACCGGAGTCTCCTGGCGCCGCTGGACGTGGCCGTGGATCCCGAGCTGCAGGAGCTGCGCCGGGAGGAGAAGGAGCAGATCAAGACCCTAAACGATAAATTCGCCGCCTTCATCGACAAGGTGGGGCTGGGGGGACCCCGAGGAGGGGTGGGACCACCCTTGGGACTGGCTTCTGGGACCTCTTGGGGCACCTGGGACATCTTGGGACACCTGGGGACATTGAGACCACCTTGGGACCTCCTGAACATCTTTGGGGACTTCTGTACCCTTGGGGACTTGAGACCTTCTCTGGGACCCCCTGAGTCTCAGATGGGACATCCCAAGCACCTTTGGGGCCCTCCTGAGACCCCTGGGGACACTGAGAAGCCCTTCTGGGTGCCCTTCAGGGACCCTCTGGATCAGCTGGGACCTCCTGAGCACCTCTGGGGACTTTCTGAGACCCTCAGAGACATTGACACCCCTTTTTGGGGACACCCTGAACCCTCCTGAGTTACCCAAGGACACTCAGCTTGCCCCAGGACCCCAAATCTCTCCCCTGCCCTCCCTTCCACATGCCCCCCTCCAGCCCAACCCATTCCCCCGGGGCTGATTTGGGGTAATTTTGGGGTTCTGATTCCCTTTTCCCCCTTTCCCCCCAGGTATGAATTGGGAGTGGAGGTGTTTTTGGGGTGATTTTGAGGTATGGGAGTGCCCCAGATCCTGTTTTCACCCAAGTGGTATTTTGGGGTGCAGGAGTGATTTTGGAGTAATTTTGGGGTGTGGAGAGATTTTGAGGTGATTCTGGGGAGTGGGATTGCCCCTGAGCCCCTTTCCTCCAGGTGTGATTTGGGGGTGGAGGTGGCTTTGGGGTGATTTTGTGGTATGGGAGTGCCCCCGATCCTGCTTTCCCCCAGGTGTGATTTTGGGGTGATTTTGGCTGGTTTTGGGGCGCTGTTCCCTGTCCGCAGGTGCGGTTCCTGGAGCAGCAGAACAAACTCCTGGAGACCAAGTGGGGGCTCCTGCGGGCGCAGCCCCCTCCCCGCAGCAGCCTGGGGGGGCTCCTCGAGGGCTACGCGGGGACCCTGCGGCGGCAGCTGGAGGCGCTGGGGCAGGAGCGGCAGCGGCTGCGCGCAGAGCTCGGCCACGTCCGCGGGCTGGTCGAGGAGTTCAAGGCCAAGTCAGTGTCCCCAAATGTCCCCTAAATCTCCTGGGTACCCCCTGTCTCCCCAGGCCCCCCCACAGCCTCCCAATGCCACCTTGCAGCCCCCCAATGCCACCTTGTGCCTGCTGATGCCGCCCAGGCCACGCCTGCAGCCTCCTGGAGGAATTCAAGGGCACATCTGTGTCCCTGAGTGTTCCCCCTCATATCCCTGTGTCCCCACCCTGTGTGCCCTCACCCCCTGTCCCCATGGCCCTCGATGCTCCCACCATGTATCCTCATGTCCCCACATCCCCGGTCTAAGTCCTCTCTATGTCCCCACATCCTCCCATCACCTTGTCCCTTTGTCCCCCTGTCCCTACTTCCCCATGTCCTCCCATCCCCTTGTGTCCCCATGTCACCCATCCTCATATCCCTCCCTATCCCAATGTCCCCATAGACCATGTCCCCCCTGTCACCATGTCCCCTCCCTACTGTCTCCATATCCCCTGTCCCCATGTCACCCGATGCCCATTTCTCCATGTCCCCCATTCCCATATCCCCATGTTCCCCCTGTCCCCATGTCCCCCATGTCCCCCCAACTCCCATCCCCATGTTCCCCCCATCCCCATGTCCCCCATGCCCATTCCTCCATGTGCCCCTGTTGCCCCCCATCCTTGTGTCCCCCTGCCCAGGTATGAGGAGGAGATCAACCACCGCACAGAGAAGGAGAACGAGTTTGTCCTGCTCAAAAAGGTGGGGGAGCCCCGACACTGAGGGGGGACCCTGACATGGGGGGAGTCCCTGAGACCAAGGGGTGGCTGTGAGGGTCCCTGGGGGTGCTGGGAACAGGGGTGACAGGGGTGTCCCCGCAGGACGTGGATGAAGCCTACATGTCCAAGGTGGAGCTGGAATCACGCCTGGAGAGCCTCACGGACGAGATAAACTTCCTGCGGCAGCTCTATGAGGAGGTTTGGAGCTGCCTGGGATTTGGGGTGCCTGGGTTCGGGGGGTGCTCCCCTGCTCAAGGCGTCCCCCGTGTGCGCAGGAGCTGCAGGAGCTGCGGGCGCAGGTGTCGGACACGGCTGTGGTGGTGTCCATGGACAACAGCCGCCAGCTGGACATGGCCGGGGTCCTGGCGGACGTGCGGGCGCAGTATGAGGACATCGCCGGCCGCAGCCGCGCTGAGGCTGAAGGCCTCTACCAGGTCAAGGTCAGGAGAGCACCCCCTGCTGCTGCCCAAGCCTTTATCTTCCTCCTCCTCCTCCTCCTCTTCCTCCTCTTCCTTGTTCCCCAAACCTTCTTCCTCCTCCTTGCTTACCACTAATCCTCCTCCTCTCCGCCTGCTCCCCAAACCTTCATCTTCCTCCTCTTTTCTCCCTAAAACTTCCTCCTCCTCTTCCACACCCTGAGCCTTCATCCTCCTCCCTGCCCCATCCTCTCTTATTCCTACTTCTCCTCCCTGCCCTGAGCCTTCTTCCTCCCTGCTTCTCAAGTCTTCTTCTCATCCTCTTCCTTGCCCCCCAGTCCTACTCCGAGTTCTCAAGCCTTCATCCTCCTCCCTCCCTGTGCCTCAATCCTTCTTCCTCCTTGTCACTTCCTCCATGCTCCCTGAACCTTTATCTTCCTCCTTGCTGCATCTTCCTCCTCCTCCCTGCCCCATCCTCCTCCTTCTCCTTCCTGCTTCCTGAAACATCTTTCTCTTCCTCCTCCTCCCTGCCCCAAATCCTTCCTCCTCCTCCTCCTCCTTCTCCTCCATCCTCCTCATCTTCCTCCTCCTCATCCTCCTCATCTTCCTCCCTGCCCTGGAGGGAGCAGCTGCTGCGTGGGAGAAATTCTGGCTGGAGACCCAACCGGAGCTGCCACATCCCAGCCTGAAGTGTTCCCCCTGGCGTGGGCTCACCCCAGTCCCGGGGAGCCACAGGGCAGGGAGGGGCCCCCATCTCCATTCCTGGTGCAGATCCCAGTGCCAGAACTTCCCAGGCTCTTTCATCCTCCGTTTTGGGATGCTGGTGCAGACTGGGGGGGCCTCATCTCACTGGGATCCCAGACTGAAGCCCAGCCAGACCCACCACATCCCGATGAGAGCTGCCACATCCCAGCTGGATCAGCCCTCCCAGCAGCGCTGCATCCTGGCTCTTTCCTCTGAATTTTTGGGGTGCTGGTAGAAAAATTAGGCTCCGCCCTCCCCATCCCACCAAGACCCTGACTCCAAACCGGACCCATGGCATCCCAGCTGGAGCATCCCTCCTGGCGTGGCCACATCCCAGCTCTCTCCACCCTGGTTTTGGTGTGCTGGGGAACAGAGGGGTCCCCTCGTCTCCATCCCCTGAGGTCCCAGATCCCAGTTGCAACATCCTTCTTCATACAGGCAAATCCCAGCTCTTCCATCCCAAATTTTGGGGTGCTGGGGGAAAAGAGGGGTCCCTCCAATCTCCATTCTCCCAGGATCTCGATTCCAAATCTATCTGGACCCCCCATATTCCAACTGGAGCTACCACATCCCTGTCAGGACATCCCTCCTGCCTCCACTGCATCCCAGGTCTTCCATCCCAGTTTTTTTGGGTGCTGGTGAAAAAGGGGGATCCCCCCATCTCCATCCCTCCAAAATCCCAGCCCCAACCCAGCCAGACCTACCGCACCCCACCCTGGACTATCCCTCCAAGTTTGGCCACATCCCAGCTTTTTCCTACTAGTTTTGGGGCGCTGGTGGGTTTGGGGGATGCCCCACATTGCCACCCCTGTCTGGTGTCTCCAGTACGAAGAGCTGAAGACAGCAGCTGGGAAGCAGGGGGACGACCTGCGTCAGACCCGCGGCCAGATCCAGGAGCTGAACCGGCGCATCCAGCGGATCCAGGCAGAGATTGAGGCTCTGAAAAACCAGGTTTGGGGTCCAACTCAGATGGACATTTGGAAGCATAGGGCCTGCCCCCCCACACATCCTCCAGCACCCCCTGGGAACCCCCACACTGGATTCCTGAGGATCCCTTGGGATGTCACCTGGGAAACGGGAGGAGAGAGCGATGGCTCAGAGACATGGGGGATTTTGGGGACTGGGAATACTGGTGGGAAAAGAGAGATGAGGCATAGCGGGATATGAGGGATACTGGAGGGTGAGGAATACTGGGACACAGGGACACTGGACCACAGAGGATGACAGGACATGGAATACTGGGACACTGGGTATGCTTGGACATGGGGACACTGAGGGGGTGAGGGACATTGGGACACTGGGGATTTTGGGTGATGGGGACACTGGCCCAGGGAGATGCTGCGCTCAGCATCCTGTCCTGCAGCGCTCTGGGCTGGAGGCGGCCGTGGCCGAGGCTGAGGAGCGCGGGGAGCTGGCACTGAGGGACGCCAGGGCCAAGCTGACCGACCTGGAGGGGGCACTGACCCAGGCCAAGCAGGACCTGGCCCGGCAGCTCCGGGAGTACCAGGAGCTCATGAACGTCAAGCTGGCCCTGGACATCGAGATTGCGACCTACAGGAAGCTGCTGGAGGGCGAGGAGAGCAGGTGGGAAGCCCCAGTCCCAAATCCCAGATCCCAGATCCCATGGGCATCTCACATCCCATAACCCACTGCATCCCACATCCCATAAGCTCTGGGCATCCATATCTCACACCTGGTGATGTTCCATCCCATATCCCATGGGCATCCCCTTTACCACACCCTTCCTCCTGGAGACCATGAACATTCTGTGCTCCATGTCCCATATCCTGCGAGGATCCCATATTCCAGGGGCGTCCCACGTTCCATACCCCATACTACATGGACATTCCTTATCCCACATCCCATATCCTGTGGCTATCCCATGTCCCATGGACACCCCATTTCCCACATCCCTTACCCTGTGGGTATCCCATATCCCACAGACATTGCATGTCCCATCTCTCACATCCCATGAACATCCCAAGTCCCCCCCTCCTGACCATGTCCCTTATTTCTCTCCCCCCAAAACCACTCAGTTTGGGGGGCCCCCTCCCACCCCCTGCATTTTGGCCATGTCCCTAAATAAACCCCCCATCACTGCTCCTCTTTAGGGGAAAGTTTTGGGGGACAACCTTCCCCCCCAGATTTCCCCCCAGGCCATGTCCTTTATCCCCCACCCCATCACTAATCCTATTTGGGGGACCCCCCAGGCTGGAGGCTGCTGTGCAGAACCTGAGCATCCACACCAAGCCTTCGGGGTACCTGGGTGAGTTTGGGGGGGTCCCTGGAACCCCCCGATTTTGGGTGCCCCCCCCGTGCCCCTCCTCACAGCTGCTCCCTCTTCCTCACAGGTGGACTCGGGGGAGGTTTTGGGGGGGGATTTGGGGGGGCCTTTGGGGGGGCCATGGTCAGCTCAGGGTACTCGGTGCCGCCCCCGCCCCCCGAGAGCACGGCCCCCCTCAAATCCCGGGCCATCGTCATCAAGAAGATCGAGACCCGCGACGGGAAGCTCGTGTCCGAGTCCTCCGACGTCCTGGAAAGCTGAAGCGCCTTTCCTGGGGACCCCCCAGGCCTTGGCTTGGCCGGCTGAGCTGAGCCCCCCTCTTTCCTGAGCAAACCCGAAATCCTGACCTGCTGAGCCCCCCCTGCGCCCCACTTTCTGGGGTGTCCCCCATGCCCACACAAACTGAACCCTCCTTTTCCCAGGGGGCTCCTCCACGTTCCCTGCCCCCCCAGGGTGTCCCCCTAAGTCCTGGCCAAGCGAACCCCCTTTCCCGAGGGGGGGGTCTCCATGTCCGGCCCAGCTGAGCCCTCCCCCTTTCCTGGGGGTCCCTCCTGTCCAGCCCAGCTGAGAGCCCTGGGCCTCCCCTTCTCAGGGTGCTCCCCCGTATCCTCCCAAGCTGAACCCCCTTTTCCGAGGTGGGGGGAAGGGTCCCCCATGTCCTGACATTCTGAGCCCCCCCCCCCGCCCCGGTCCCCTCTTTCCTGCCCAGGGGGGTCCCCCCAAGTCCAGGCTACCTGATTCCCCTTTCCTGGGGGGTCCTGTCCATGTCCTGGGGGGATCTTTGGTGGAGGATCCCCCTTGTCCAGGCCAGCTGAGCCCATTCCCTTCCCGGGGGGGTCCCTCCGTTCCTGTGGGGGTCCCCCATGTCCTGACCTGCTGAGCCCCGCCCTTGGTGTGTCCCCCCTCCATGCTGGCCCCCTTGCCGGGGGTCCCCAGCTCCCCACAGGACACCAGGCACCCTCTGCTGATGACCGGAGCCAGTGCCAGTGCCAGTCTCCCCCGGGGGGCTCCAACCCCCCCATTGTCCCCTCTGGGACGGGGGGTGGCAACTGGGGGGCCTGGGCCTCCCCCCCTGTTCTGCTTGCTGCTGGAATAAAACCTGGGAAATTCGGGAGTGTTGATAACTGAGGGGGGCGGGCTGTGGGGCAGGGCTCATCCCAGGCTGCCTGGGGCGTTTTGGGGTGCCAGGACGATATTGGGGTGCTTAGACCAATCTGAGTTTGGTGGGATCCATATCTCGGGGTGCCTGGTGTTGTTTTGGGGTTCCCAAGACTTTCTTGGGGGACTGGGACAAGTCTTGGTGCTGCCAGATCACTTTTGAGGTCTCTGGGTCTGTTTGGGGGTCCTAGAATCTGTTTTAGAGTGCCAGGACCCATCTGTGGCTGCCAGGACCAATCTTGGGGTGCCCGGCTCCCTTACTGGGGTGCCAGGACAAGTTTTGGGGTGCCAGGACCCATCCCAAGGTGCCAATACCTATTTGGGATTGCCTGGATCTCTCCCAGGTGCGGGGATCTATCTTGGGGTGCCTGGGTCTGTGTTGGGGAGCCAGAACCCATCTGTGGGTGCCCGGGTTTGTTTTGGGGTACCAGGACTCATCCTGGGGCACCTGGGTCCCTCCAGGGGTGTCTGTGACGGTGCCAACGTGCCCAGGTCCCTTTTTGGAGGTCTGGCTGTGTTTCGGGGTGCCAGGACCCATCCTGGGCTGTCAATATCTGTTTGAGGGTCCCTCCTGGGGCATCAGGACCCTTCCATGGGTGCCAGGACTTGTTTTGGGATGGCAATCCCTGTTTTGGGGTGCCTGGGTCCTTTCTTGGACGCCCAGAGCAGTTTTAGGGTGTCTGTGCCCACCCCGGGCTGCCTGGGACCGTTTTGGCACATCAGGACCCACCCCAGTTTTGGGGGGACAAGGTCCTTGCTGGGGTTCCAGGACCCATCTTGGAGTGCCAGGGTTTTTTTGGGGGTGGCCAGTTCCCTCAGGGAGTGCCAGGGCCCATCTCAGGGTGCCGGGGTCTGTTTTGGGGTTCCCGGATTCCCTCTGGGGTGCCAGAACCATTTCCAGGGTACTTGGGTCAGTTTGGGGGTACAAGCACCCACCCTGGGCCCTCAGAGCTCGTTTTGGTGTGCCTGGCTCTGTTTTGGAATGCCATGGCTTGTTTTGGGGTGCCAGGACCCCCTCTGGGACATCAGAATCCATTTTGGGGTGCCTGGGTCCCTTCCTGGGCTCATCCAGGGGTACCAGGGTCTGTTTTGGGGTGCCCGTGTCCCTCCAGGGTGGGGTCCTTTTCTCTCGGGGCGCCACCGCACCCCAAAACCCCTTGCTGCCCCCCGCCCCCCATTTTGGAGCAGCGGGGGGGGGGCAGCTTCCTCGTTTGGGGGTCCGGGGCCCCCCCAGTTGGTTTGGGGGTGTCGAAGGGGTGCCCTGGGCTGTTTGGGCTGGTGGAGATTTTGTGGGCACGGGCCATGTTTTGGGGGGCTCGGAGCCGTTTTGGGGGGCTCGGAGCCGCTCTGGAGGGTCCTCATGGGGCGAAGGGGGCCCCCCCCCCTCCGGTCAATCATTAACCCCTCGGTGCCCGGGAGGGAGGGAGGGTTTGGGGCTGGCAGCAGATTCGGGGGTCCCTCCATGGCTTGGGGGGTGGGTATGGCCACAGGGTCTGGCGGCCTTGCAGGTTTTGGGGTGTCCCCCCCCCCCCAGTTCTATTCGCGGGCCGGGGGGTGACCCCTGGTGTCCGTAATTAGTGCCAGCAGAGGGTTAATTAATTAATCTAATTAATGAAGGAGCTGGGGAGGCGCTGCAGTCCCGCAGCGCATTGAGCCCTCGGGGCTCTCCAGTTCCCCCCCAGGGGTTTTGGGGACCCTTCCCCGGTTTGGGGGGGCTCCCTCAGAGCCACCGCGAGCCCCTCAAATTTGGGGAGTCCTCTCGGAGGCCCTGGGATTCGGGGGGGCCCTGAGCTCCTGGGGGGGCCTTTGGGGTGAAGGAGGGCGCTGGTTCGAGGGGGGACTGACACTGCCCCCCCTTAAAAAAGGGGTGCGATCAGCGGTGCCCCACCCCCCCCGGGGGGTTAAATTGGGGTCACCTCCCTGCACCCCCTTCCTGCCCCTCTGCCCCCATGTCCGGTTTTGGGGGGGGGGGGGGCTGGTTTGGGGGCTCATGGGGTTCTTTGGGGCGGGGAGGGGTTGGAGGTGTTTGGAGTCTCCCCGCAGCCCTCAGAGCCCCCCGGCCCGCCCGGCCCGGTGATTTTGGGGTTCGCGGGCGCTGGAGGGCGGCAGAGGAGCGGGAATGGAGCCGCGGGCGGGGCTGCGGGAGCCGGGAGGTGGAACACCTCAATTTCGGGTGGGGTGATGGGGAATGGGGGGTCCCCATTGGGAATGGGGGGTCCCCGCCCGGGTCCGGCTCCACGGGGAATTTGGGGGCTGGGGGGCGGTGGGGGGGGTGGTATCGGGGGGTGGATCGGGGGGCAGATGGGGTTAGGGGGGAGCCTGATGGGTTTGGGGGGGTCGGGAGGGGTCCGGGGGAGTCTGGGGTGGATCTGAAGGTGCCGGGGCGGGGGGCAGGGGGTGGGTCTGGGGGTGTCTGGAGGGGTTTGGGTGTTGGGGGCTGCGGGGTCTGGGGAGGCTGGGGGTCGGGGGGGGTCTGAGGGTGTCTGCGGTGGTCTAGGAGTAGATGGGGGGTTCGGGGGGCTGTGGGGAGTGTGGGGGGTGCAGCCGAGCGGGGGGGTCTGGGGTCGCAGGGGTTTCGGGGGTGTGGGGGGATCTGTGGGGGTTGAGCCCCACGGACCAGTTTCCTCCTGGTTGGAAACTGGGGGGGCACGGGGCCCCTGCAGGGAAACAGGCAGGGATTGTTTGTGGGGGGAGCTGGAGCCCTCCGGCTCGGTGGGACCCCTGGGAGGTCACCCCGTGTCACCCTCGGCCCCATCTGGACCCCGGCGGGTGGGAGAGGGCCCCTCCCGTGACCCCCTCAGTGCCAGCACCCCCTGCTCGCTTCGCCCCCTTCCCCACGCGGGGGCACCCCAAGTCAGGGACGGGGCAGCCACGGGCGGTCTCTGGGGGCGGGGCTCTCACCCCGCCCCGCTGGGACACTGCGAGGGGAGCTCGGGGGTCCCGGGGCACCCAGAGCGTCCTGGGGAGGGATTTGATCCCCCCGATCACCCAAAGCTGCCGGCACTGGAGCTGCGGGCGCTGGACGTGCCCGGGGAGGGAAACTGAGGCACGGGGACATCGCGGGGATCCCTCCCCCCGCAGGATCTGACCCCGAACCCACCCTGGGGGTTCACGCCCAGGACCTCGGGCTCCCCCAGGGCTGGGGGGGCAGGCTGAGACCTGACCCAGCTCATCCCATGGGTGGGGCCGTGACTCACCCGCCCGGGGGGGCCCCTTTGGTCTGGGGGGTCCCTGAGCCTTTCGGAGCATTGAGAGGGAGCCGGGAGAGGGGACCCGGACCCTGGGGTCCCTTTGGGCCCATTCTGGGGGCCTTTGAGGGGTGCTGGGGGACATGGGAGTCCTCCGGTGTCTGGGGCTGGGGTCGAGCTCAGGGTGTTTGGGTTTCACAGCTTTGGGGGTCCTGGCTCCTTCTGGGGTCACCTGGGTTCCTCTTGGGATGGGGGAGTGGGGTGAGGGGTTTGGGGGTGCTGAACCATTGGGAGTGGTTCTGGGGCCTCATGAGGGCTGATGGAGGAAATGTGGGGGACCCTGCCCTTTGGGGGTCCCCCTGTGTCTGAGGATGACATCAGGCCCGAGGGACTTGGGGGTTTGTGTTTCCCCCCCAGATTTTTCTGCTGGGGAACCTGAACCCCCATTTCCATCCCTGAGGGTCCATCCAAGCTCAGACCCCCAAATCCACGAATGGGCTTCTTCTCCTCCAACCCCACCTCCCCATGGAGGGGATCCCCAAAATCTGGGGGCTCAGACAGACACTTCCTGCCCCTCAAATGTTCCTGGATCAGGGAGTCCTCAGCCCCCATCTCTGTCTTTGTGAGACCCCCCCTCACAAGCTCAACCCCCCACAGATCCAGGCCCTGAATGGGCTCCTTCACCCCAAAACCCACCTCTCCACAGAGGGGACCCCCAAAATCAGGTGCTCAGGTGGGCACCTCCTCACACAGACGTGTGAGGGTGTTTTTGGGGGGGGGGGGGGGTCTCTGCCCCACAGTGGGGTATCCCTGCCCTGTATTAGGGGTTGGTCCCTTGGCTGCCACCCGGGTGGGGTTTTGGGGTGCAGTGACAAGCTGGGGCCTGTCGGGGCAATTAACTGCGTAATTAGCGTCAGGAGGAGCCGCCCAAACCCTCGGTACTTTCACACGCACACCCCTGCACTCCTCTGCTCCCGGCGCCCCAAACCTCCTCCCGTACCGTCCCCACGATCCCCCACAGCCCCTGAGGCTCTGCACCCCCAGACCCAGCACGTTTGGAGTCAGCGTTGCCTTTTTAACTGGGGGAGATGTGCAGCGCCCCCAGAGCTGGGGAACCCCAGGAAGGGGGCCTGGGGGGGTGGCTCGGGGTGTGGTCTCGTTTTTGGGACCCCGGTTGGGCTTTGGGGTGCACTCCGGCCCTTTAGGGGGTGTTCTGGATTTGGGATCCCAAGGGCCTGGGGATGGTGGGGGGGAGATGGATGCCGGCATATCCTGGGGGGCAGCCCACCTCTTTCCCACCCTCAGGAATTTGGGGACGGGGTGATGCTGCAGCTGGGGGCCTACTGAGTTCAACCCCCCCCAATCCCAATGGATTTCCCTCAAAAACACGGGATCCCCCTACCTTGAGCACCTGTCCCGACCCTTTTAACACTGAATTGACCCCATTTTGGTGTCCTTGTTTGCCCCACACGTGGGAAGAAACTGGGGGACCTGGGTATCCAGTGGGTCTTTATTCCCATGGCATATTCATATGGATTCCTGTGGGACCCCCAGGGTCAGCCCTGCCCCTGTCTGGGGCCCACCCCCATCCTGTGACCCCCAGAAGGGTCCTCACCCCCTCATCACGGGGACCACGTGGGGCTGCAAGTGAGTGCTCCTTCCTGGGGCTGCCTCCCCAGCGATCCCAATCCTCCTTCCCTGGGATCTGTTTCCCAGCACTGGGGCTCAGATGAGCTTTCCCTCTGGCTGGGCATGGACAGATCCCCCCCCGTGACAGTGGGACAGCAGGAGAGGTGGCCCCAATGGCACCACAACAGGAATGAGCCAGCCCGCCCCTGGGGGCTGTGAGCGCTGGGACTGGGGGTGCTGTGAGCTCCTGCTGCCAGCCCTGCTCCCGCCGTGGATCCCGGGGCTCTCGGCAGTGCCAGGTGCCGCCCGTCTTCTGCAACACCTGCTTTGATCTCCCGGGAATCCATCTTGTTGTTCCAGCCGCCACCCCTCCTGCTCCCAGCCCTGCAATTTCCCAGCTCGGTGGCTGCCAGCGGAGCAGCCAGGAGTTTCCGGATCTGAGGTTTTCCCAGTTGAACCCAGTCCCAGCACGGTTCTGGGGTGAAAACAGCTGGATTTGAGCTCTGGTTCGGCTTCACATTGCCCTGGCTGGGACTGCTGGGCACCCGTGCTGGTGGTCCCATGGGATACACGGGGAAGGTGGGAGGTTGGGGTGCTGGGTGGGTGATGGTGGCCAGTGTTGGGTGGGTGACAGTGGCCAAGACTGAGCAGAGGATGGTGTCCAACGTTGGGTAGGTGATGGTGGCCAACACTGAGTGGGGGATGGCCCTCCATGGGTGCCAGTGTGTTAGGTGGGTGATGGTGGCCAACACTGGTGGGTGGATGGTGGCCAATGCCGGCTGGTGATGTTGCTCAGAATTGGGTGGGTCATGGTGGCCAGCACTGGTTGGGTGACACTGGCCAACCTTGGACCCTCAGCTTTGCTCCTGATGCATTCCAATCCCGGCAAGTGCTGGAGCATCAGAGATGCTCCACCTTGGAGTTCAGGAGGGATTTGGGAGCTGATCCCACGTCCCAGTGAGGTGTCTTCACCCCTTGGTGGCAGGGTGGGGCAGGGCTTTGCTGGCCCGGCAGCTGCTTGGGCAAGTGCTGGGCTGGCCGCAGGGCAGCAGCTGGGCCAGGAGCTGCCGCTGGAGCCACCCTGGGAACTCCTGGCAGGAATGCTCTCCGCCCCGGCTCCAACAGGTTCATTCGGTTTTGGGGCTGATCTGCCGGTTGCATAAGGCGAGGAGAAGCAGCCGCCGCCTTCTTCCGCCAGTTCAAACCGCTTCTCCAGCTGGAAAGCTGGGGAACCCCGGAGGGTGGGAGGGGGTTTCCAGGTGGGACTGGGGCATGCAGGACGCGCATTGTTCGAGGGGAGCATCAACTTCCCCGTTCCCTGCGCTGCAAATTCCCTGGGGCTGAAAATCCTGGAGCTTCAGGAATCCCCAGTGAGATTCAGGAGGAAACACCGGGACATGCACCCAGCCCTAGATTTACATCTCTTCAGTGAAAAAAAAAGCCGGGGTGAACAGTCTTGGAGGTGAAACTGGTTCCACAAACTCCTCCCAATAGACGGGATAATCCAGAGCTGGATTTTATTGGCAGTGTGGGGTTGGGGGAAGTTTTGAGGCTTTTTATTTGTTTTAACAGTGGGATAAACCGGGATCTTCAATGGACGCAGCTTAACACCTCATTTAAATAGAAATTTAAAGCAATTAAGCAATTAAATTGTGTTGTTTTAACAATGGGGTAGGCTGGGAGTGGCTTTGCTGAATACTATGTGCTGTGGAGGGACTGGAGATCCACAGGGACCCTCAGGAAACATCGCAAAATCCCTGGAAGGTTCCTCAGAGGAGGGATGTGAGCCCCTGTCAAAGCTGTGGGTCAGGGAACAGTCTTGAGCCTGCTGGGGTGTGCCCAACACATATATTGGGATATTTCAGTCTCTGCAAATCCCAGCGTGTCCCGCCCAGCTCAACTCGTCACTCAGAGGAATCCGGAATGACTTCAAAATGCTTCAGAAGGTTTAAGAAGGTTTTAAAATCACATATTGACATAAAAGTAGTTTTAGAACCCTGCCCAACACTAATGCTCCCAGTTGTGAAACGCTTTGGACAACCCACATCACCCCTCCTCGGAGCAGGAGGTTGAAACTGAGTGCATCTGAGGGTGTGCCTGGGAGCCTGGGTTTTTGTTGGAATTCAGTGAACCCAGCCACTGGAGTCAGGCCGAAAGTGACAGATTTAGCTAAAACAAGGGTTTCCCTCGAGGGTGTGATACATCTGAGAGTTCACGGGGCTTTGGCCACGGCCCAGGGAATTTGGGTTGGAGTTCGCCTCCAACACCAACAATACTTTTGTTTTTCTTTGCACTCTGGGGAGTGTTTGCAGGCAGGTCATGGTTGTGCCAAAGTGAGGAGGGCGTCCTTTCAAACCTGAAAACAATGAAGAGAATGAAACAATCCCCAAAAGGTGACATCTCCACTCCCCCCTGGCACCGACCAACTCCCTGTGCCCATAAAAAGGGGCACCCAGCAGCTGCTCCCACAGACTTGGCTTCTCTCGCCTCTCAAGCCCCAGCCTCAGCTTTTTGCTCAGAACTTTGGGGACCCTTCACCATGTCTCGCCAGTCCTGCGCTCTTGGCAAGGGGTTCAGCTCCAGCTCTGTGTGCTTCGGGGGCAAGAGCAAGGTCACGTTTGGCTCCATGCCCCGTGGAGGATGCCGGGGAGCTGCCGGCGGCTTCAGCAGCAGGAGCCTCTATTCCCTGGGGGGCAGTAAAAGCACCTCCTTGGGAGGGTTTGGGGGTGCCTGCAGAGGCTTTGGTGGCCAAGGAGGCTTCGGCTTTGGGGCCGGAGCAGGATTTGGGGGTGGCTATGGTGCAGGGGGCTTTGGTGGAGGCTCTGGCAGTGGCTTTGGTGGCTTTGGTGGAGGATTTGACGGTGGGATGGGGGGCCAGGGCTACCCCCCATGCCCCCCGGGCGGCATCAGGGAGGTGACCATCAACCAGAGCCTGCTGGCCCCCCTCAATCTCGAGATTGACCCCGAGATCCAGAAGGTTCGGACACAGGAGCGAGAGGAGATCAAGAAACTCAACGACAAATTTGCCTCCTTCATCGACAAGGTTTGGAGGGGCTTCACTCCAGGATGGGCTCTTGAGGGTGGGAGTGACAAGGAGATGCTCATCCAGGGGCACCCAGAGCTGCAGTTGCCCAGATCACCATAAACTGAAGGTGTTCAGAGCTGTTTTTAAGGGGAAAATGGGCTATTTTATGGGGAACATTGGGCTACTTTGAAGGAGCAGGTGAAGTTTTTTGGGTGTTTGGGGCTATTTTTGGTGGGATTTTGGCTGCTTTAGGCTTCTTTTAAGAAGATTATGTGACTTTAGGTGACGAGCTATTTTAAAGTAGAAAGTGCAATTTTTTAAAAAATATTTTCATGGAGATGTTTGGATTTGGGGTGCTTTGGACTCTTTTTAAGGAGAAGATGGGATACATACTGATTTAGGCTTTTTTTAAGGAAGCAATTGGACTTTTTGGGTGTTTTGGTCTATTTTGAAGGTGTTGGGACTTTTTTGGCTATTTTGAACAAGAAGATGCTGAAGCCATGAAGTTCATTGTGTTTCTTCTGTTTAGAGGCTCCAAAATTGGGAAGGGGACGTGACCCCCTTTTTCCCACTCGCCCCATTCACCGTGGTCCTACCTGTCCTGTAGGACTGGGGAGTTATCACACATTAAACGGGAATAAGATATGGAAAGCACATGGGGGAAAAAAAATCAATAAAAAGATGGGGTTTTGAAGGGAGAATCTGACTCTTTCCCCACCTGTTCAGGTCCGGTTCCTGGAGCAGCAGAACCGAGTCCTGGAGACCAAGTGGAAGCTGCTGCAGGAACAGGGTGGTGCAGGAACGGGGGGCAGGAACCTGGACCCTTTCTTTGAGACCTACATCAGTGGGCTGAGGAAGCAGCTGGATTGTCTCTCCAGTGAGAAGCACCAGCTGGACACAGAGCTGAAGAGCTTCCAGGACATGGTGGAGGACTTCAAGACAAAGTAAGTTGCTTGAGGTGTCTGGTGGTGAATAATCAGAGAGAAAAACTCACTTCAAACAGTGAAAAAAAGGAGAAATATTGATAATAATAATCAGTATTGATTTTTTTTCCCCGATGGTTAGAAAATGTAAAATGTTTTGGGAAAAGTGAGTTTGGATGAAAAGTGGTGCTTTTTCAAGGTATTTCTCAACTTTTCTCAGATTTTTTCAATATATTGCTTGAATTGTGTTTCTTCCTGAAGGAGGATCCTCCACTCTTTGTCTTCTTCAAGAAGGAATTCCTTAAGAATCAGTGACATTGTGATTTAATTCATTAATCAGTTGCTAAACCCAGCTCTAATTTCCTTATGGATTTCCTCATGATTCTTTCACATAATATCGTTCAGGATTTGAGGGTTTCTGGTTTCTGTGGAAGGCTGACAAGAAGTAAAAAAAAATAAATATTTCCTGCTGTTAGTTATTATAATATATAATTTGTTTTAGTCTATAAATATGAACATAAAATGTGTCCAGTTTGAAAAAATAGAACAAAGACTGGAGAAAGGAATCCACTTGAGGAATTACAAAAAACATTGGGCAAAGAAGTCTGGGAATCATGGGAATCCACAAGACCTGGGACCTACCAGAGGCTGCTGAGTGAAAATTGACTTTATATATGGAGACAAACATCTGGAAAATTTGAGTCCATTTGGGATTCTGGGGTGTCCTGCGCAGGGCCAGGATCTGAACTCGATGATCCCTGTAAGCCCCTTCCAAATCAGGAGATTCCACAATACCTGTGAGGAGCTGAAGGTTCTTGGATCTTGTAGAAGGAGCTTGGAGTGGCTGCAAGCACCAGGACTCCCTTTAGCAGAGCCAGAATTCCTCTTTCCAGGCTTTCCTCACCCAGGTGCTGGAAGTGCAGGAGCCAGGGCTTGTCCTGAAAGGCGAAGTGCAATTCCCTGTCCATAAATCTCCCTTATGGCAGATCTATTTTTGCTGGGTTTATGAGTCTGAGGCCAACAATGTTCATTAGCCTGAGCCGGAGCCAAAACAAGCAGCCTGATTCCATCTCCCTCCTTCCCATCCACAGGTACGAGGAAGAGATAAACAAAAGGACGGCAGCTGAGAATGAATTTGTGCTCCTGAAGAAGGTCAAGTCCTTGCTTTCACCTAAAGGGACTCCAGGAGAGCTGGAGAGGGACTTTGGACAACGGCCTGGGGTGACAGGACACAGGGAATGGCTTCCCACTGCCAGAGGACAGGGATAGATGGGATATTGGACAGGGATTTTTCCCTGTGGGGGTGGGGAGGCCCTGGAATGGATTTCCAAGAGAGCTGTGGCTGCCTGACCCCTGGAAGTGTCCCAGGCCAGGCTGGACGGGACTTGGAGCAGCCTGGGAGAGTGGAAGGTGTCCCTGTCCATGGAAGGGGGTGGAATTGCATTTAAATCCCTTCCAACCCAGACTGTTCCATGATTCCATGAAATTTTAGATTAACTGGTGTGTGCTGAGCAGGTTTTCTCATCCCATCTCTGCTACAGGACGTGGATGGAGTCTACATGGCCAAGGTGGAACTCCAGGGTAAACTGGATTCTCTGTCAGATGAGATCAACTTCCTCAAGTGTCTTTACGAGGCCGTGAGTACTGTGGGGCACTGGGATGGGGGAGAGTTGTGGCACCGTAAGGAAGCTCTGGAAGGGCTAAATCTGGGTTGGGCATCACCTGCAGGAGCTGGCCCAGATGCAGAAGACGGTGTCCGACACCTCGGTGGTGCTGTCCATGGACAACAACCGGAGCCTGGACCTGGACAGCATCATCGCCGAGGTGAAGGCGCAGTACGAGGAGATCGCCAACCGCAGCCGGCTGGAGGCCGAGTCCTGGTACCGATGCAAGGTGAGGGTCGCACACTCTGCTGGGGCTCTCCAGTGTCCAAGAGAATGGGACAGCTGCTACTGGTGGCAGCTCAGGCCATGGCAAGATCTGGAGCGTTGCTGGTGCTGGCCCATCCAGAGTGGACCTGGCACCGATTTGCTCTCCTTGGCTTCCCTGCGGTGATGTGGGAGCAGCTGTGAGGTTACAATGGACTCAACATTCTTCTCCTGCTTCATCCCACCAGTATGAGGAGCTGCAGGCAACCGCAGGCAAGCATGGAGACAGCCTCAAGGACACCAAGACCGAGATCTCAGAGCTCAACCGCATGATCCAGAGGATCCGGGCAGAGATCGACAGTGTGAAGAAGCAGGTGGGGGTTATGTTTTTGGAGGCAATGGGGAGGACCTCTTGGTCACGCCTTTTGAAACTTCCCTGAAGGGAAAAAAGTGTGGTGGGAATTGTTGGGTGTGGGAGGGACCTGGGAATAGCTGAGCCTGAGTGGCTCTGGCACATGTTGCCCAGAAAAGTTATGGATGCTCCATCCATGGAAGTGTCCAAGGCCAGGTAGGACATGGCTTGGAGCAACATGGGATAGTGGAAGGTGTTCCTGTGCATGCTCCAGATCATCTCTAAGGTCCTGTCCAACCCAAACCATTACATGTTTCTGTGCTCTGGGATTATGGCTGCATCTCTCACTGGCTGCTCCCACCCTACTCATCCCCCCCATGCCTTGCCCTGCAGTGTGAGACCATTCAGACGTCGATTGCGGATGCAGAGCAGCGCGGGGAGGTGGCTCTCAAGGATGCCAGGGATAAACTGGCTGAGCTGGAGACAGCCCTGCAGAAAGCCAAGGCTGACATGGCCCGGCAGCTCCGGGAGTACCAGGAGCTCATGAATGTCAAACTGGCCCTGGACGTGGAGATTGCGACCTACAGGAAGCTGCTGGAGGGCGAGGAGTGCAGGTGGGTGGGATGCAGCAAGAATTCCAGTGAATCCTGATCAGTCAATGGGAAAAATGTGTACCATCATCTTCATAAACATTAATGGTGTTGTTATGAGTCGTGGACCGTGGTCCTGTGGCTGTGTCAGTGGACCAATCCTGACTTCATGGAGTTGAACCCCTCCAGATGCTCTGGCTGGATTTGACCCTCCATCTCGTTTCCTTGCAGGATGTCTGGAGAATGCCAGAGCTCTGTCAGCATCTGTAAGTACTGTTCCCCCACAGGAGTGTGGTGGGCTGGGACTGGTGTTCCCAAACTTCTTTGTGGCATCAGAGGTAACCTGGTGCCTTTTGTTCCTCTCTGCAGCCGTGGTGGGCGGCAGCAGCTCCGTGGGCGGTGGATATGGCAGCGGACTGTGCCTTGGAGGAGGAGGAATTGGCTTTGGAAGCGGGAAAGGCAGCTGCAACACGGGCGGTGCTGGTTTATGCTTCAGCCTGGGTGGGGGTGGATTTGGTTCTGGGGGTGGATTTTGCTCCCTGGGTGGGGGATCTAACTCGGTGGTGGTGGGGGGATCTGGCTCCATCCTGAAGAACAGTGGCCCCACCAGGAGGGCATAGGAAAGGGATCAACCCCCTGACCGCGGCAGCCGGAGGAGAAAGGGAGCGAACTGCACGATGACCCCCCAGTGACCACCTGGTAAGGACTGAGATTCCCAACAGCAGCCAAGAACAGCTCAATCCCTTGTGCTGGACATCAAGGTGCCCAGCTCTCCTTTGGGAGCGGGACCTGCCCATTCATGGGAGCCCCAAACCTGGCTGGGATGAGCCCAGCACCCTCCAAGCAAGAGGTGCCCGACCCAGGCAGGAGCGGGGATGGATCCGAGCGCAGCTCCGAGTGTGCAGGGGAGCCTTGGCTTCTCTCAGGCTCTTGTGCTGGATCCAGCCGTGGTGCAACTTTAATCAATGTTACTCATCAGCCGCAGCTCGAGCTCCAAAACAGGAATTTCCTCCTGGTGCCTTGGCTGAAGATGTTTCTCACCCAACTGACTTTTTAGTTTGCTCCCCCAGAAGTTTCACTCGTGCTGTTGTAAAATGTTTATTTTTACTCAGGGTTCACCTTTTCCTTGGGACCATGGGAACAATCACGTGTGTTTGCTTAAGCCTTTCTCCTTGGCATGTGCCATCCCCCAATAAACATAAGAGGCAGAAACTTGGTGTGGTTTTCTCCCTAACCAAAGAGTTTCATGTTGTAACAAGTCTCATCTTCTGATGAGATCTGAAAACATTTCCTGACTTTCTCCTGCCCTTTGAAGTCTGAATTTAAAGGAACTCAGGTGAAGGGGCAACCGGGTCTCCTCTCGCCCCTCTGTCTCCAAAAATGTGGGGAGTTTGTGAGTTTTGCAGAACAAGGTGGGTCTCACTGGGGAGGCTGAAGGGACATTGGGTGTAAAATGACAGTGACACAGTTGGGGGTGTCATTGGTGACAGCCCTGGGAACGAGCCTACTCCTAGCAGAGAGAGAGGCAGCCCCTGGATCCTCCTGTGTGTCCTGCAGGATCCCCGGACGTGGCAGAGATTGTTGTTCCCCCATTGTCCCCACCAGGTCTGAGCAGACTTTCAGGGTCTGTAGATTTTAGGAGACTCTTCCCTTCCTTCTTCTCTTCCTAAACCCTTTCCATGCTGGAGTTAGGCAATTTGGGATGTTCCCCAGCTATCCCACCTCTCCCTGGCCACTGTGCCTGACCACACAACTGCCCATCCTGTCTTCCGAGGTGGCCCCAGCTTGGGGTGCCACAGCTGGAGCTCCCAGGACACTCTTTGTGTGCACTCCAGGTGCTTTAGGAGCATCCTACCATGGTTAGTGTGGGAGAAGGAAGAACAGTCATCACCCCTACAAATAATTTGGAGTTAATTCCTTGGTGTACATTATTTTGGACCCAGCCCTGCAGCTTTTCCTACTGTCTGCACTCATCAAGGATCCATGGATTGCTCTTAAGGCATCTCCAAAAGGTAACTGAGACCATGGGAAGGGACCTTCCCCCCCTGCTCCACCAAACCACACCTCTCCCCAAAAGCAGAGTATTTGGATAAATTTCGATCCCCAAACTCCTGCTGTGGTTTGACCTCTTGCTCAGGAGACCTTGAATCACATCCCTGGCCAACCACAGCCTGTGCTTGGGGTGACTCATCCCATTTCTCCCATGTTCCATTCTGAGCTGGTAAAGGCTGAAGACATCCAGTACCAGCAGTGACAGGCGGAATGTCACAATGGAATGTCACAATGCTGCCAGCACGGGCTTGTCACTGCTTGGGTGGGGACAAGGTTTGAGCGGTGGTTAAACATTCAGGGAGTTGTAAAAGTGACCTGAAGTGCTGTTGAAAAGGCATTGACTTCCTTCGGAGTCACCCCAATCCCTCGGAGTCACCCCAATCCAAAGTCGCTCCCAGCAGTGACTCCTGCCTGAGGAGAGACAAAGGGCTTCTCCAGGAACACAAAGGCTGTCGCTACAACAAACACACTTACAAGTCCCTCCCTTTTTGTTCCTGGGATTGCACCAGCAATTAGGGAAAAATTATCCCAGGCTGGACACAGAGGTGATATAATTTCTGCCCCTGGTTGGAGGAGAGACAATGTTTTCCATGGTCTGAAAACAGGATTGGATTCATCAGGGTTTGTCCCTGCCCATGGCAGGGAATGGACCAAGATGAACTTTAAGGTCCTTTCCAGCCCAAACCATTCCATGATTCTGTGATTTCATGGTTTTCTCTCAGTTATTCAAGGCCTGTTTATTTTCACAGCAACATGGAACAGTTTGGGTGGGAAGTGACCTCTGATGGTCATTTTCCTGCACTGGGGGTTCCAGGAGAGCTGTAGAGGGACTTGGAAAGGACCTGAAATGGTGGGCTAAGGGGTGATGGCATCCAACTGGAAGAGGGCAGGATTAGATGGGATATCTGTAAGGAATTCCTCCCTGTGAGGGTGGTGAGGTCCTGGAATGGATTTTCTGGAAAAGCTGCGCCTGCTGCATCCCTGGAAGTGCCCAGTTCCAGGCTGGATGGGGCTTGGAGCAGTGAGGTCTGCTGGAAGAAGTCCCTGCCCATGGCCGGGGTAGGATGGGATGATCTTTCCACTCTTTTCCCACCAAGCCATTCCAACTCTGCCCATCATGTCTGAACCGGGAGGTGATATCAATACCCAAATCCCAGTTCGATTTCCTAAGCCTGGCTGGAGCCAGGGCCGTGACTCAACGCTCTGCGTTATCTCTCCACGGGCGCTCGGGGCTCTGCCGTTTGCTGACTCGGGAACTCTCTTCCCCTGGGAACAGGAGAACTTTCAGATCGTGTCATCCCGCCCACAGAAGGAGAAAAAAATCCCAACAAAAATCCCCCAGGAAAGCGTAACCAGAGGTTTGATAACACTGAGGATGGTGGGTCTTGGCTAGGCAGTGCCCCAGCCCCCATTTTTATTATCTGTGTATTGATTTCTTGTCTAATTTTTTTATTTGTTGCCTATTAAAACCTCTGTCCAATCCACAACACCTCTCTTCCTTTGCTCTTGCAGTGAGATTTTGATATTAAATATTTTTTCAAAAGTAAGACTCGAAGATCTTGAAAGTCTTTTCCAGTCTTAACAATTCTATGATTACCTGATTTTTCTTAGCCTTATCTACCCCCCTAATCCATCTCCTTGAGTCCTTCCAGACCCACACGGGTCCTGGAGGTGGGATAAACACAGGGAATGTCATGTTTTCCAGTGGAAATGCCAGTTTAGCTGCATATCCGGGTCCCAAGGCACTTTTGGAAATGGGTGTCTGGGCAATATTTTTAGAGGTATTTAAACATCTGATGATACCAGAAGTTGCTGGTGTGGATTTTCCAGAAGCTCTTAATTAACATGTGTCCTGTGAGAATTCTGAGAGCTGCACCACATGGCTGCCAGCACAGTTAGGTGTCTCCACAGCTGTGGGTTTGGACTTCAATATGGCCTAGGTGGCTTTAAAATGTTGAAAAGTAATAAAAAAAAATCTATTTTTTCTATAAAAAAAGAAAATGAGACTAATTGCTGTTTGGCAAGCAAGGCAAAAGGGTGGATCTGTGATGGATTTTTGGATTAAATGACTTACAGAGTCAGCCTGAATCACTCCATGATTCTGTGAAGGGTGGTGCATGCCCAATGCCTGGAAATGTCCAAGGCCAGGGGCTTGGAGCCACCTGGGATGGTGGAAGGTGTCCCTGCCCATGGCAGGAGGTGGAATGAGATGGGCTTTAAGGTCCTTTTCAACCCAAACCATTCTGGAATTCTGTGAAGGATCATAGTCTGAATCCACCCTGAGTTGGGGATCTGAACTGGATGATTCTGACAAACTCCTGCCTTTCTAAAATCTACATCTGCCAAAGATACATTTACATACAAACCCCAAAATAAGTGAAACAGCTGAAAAACATGGTGATTCCTCCAAGCCCTGTGCTCTCCAGATTTTCACATCTCTATAAATGAGTTGAGCTCTATTAATTGCATTTAAATTGTTCCAGGGCATGTGATGTGGGAAGCAAGGTTTGGGATCCCTCCTCCCACTGCACTGGGGCTGTCCCTCCATCTTTCTGCACGTCCCACCATGGCAGCCGGTGCCTGGTGTCCCCTCATGGTCCTGAAGCTTTCAGAAAATCCTACAGGTTTCCCGGAGAAGGAATTTCCTCACCAGTGCTGAGATTATCTTGGCATGAAGACAGTGGGAGATGCTTTAGTCCAACAATAAATGAATTTCCAGTGCCAGCACCGGTGTCTCGTCACTGGTGAGGTTTTATTTATGAAAAAGGTGCAGAGCCTCATCAAAATGCAATTTGCTGAGCTCTGGCGGTAGATTGAGAAACTCAATTCTCCAAGCCAAAGGCAATTTTCCAAGTAAAAAGAAGGCTGAGGGTGTAACTTAGGTGTGTTTTGGGAATTGTGAAAGCCGGGCTACAACTTGGCATGAACTGCAATGCCTGCCTGCAATGGGGCTTTGGAGTGAGAGATTTAAAGATAAATACAAGCAGGGAAACAACCCCAGTGGATAAAAGGTGGAAAAAAAAATGGCTAGTATTTCGCAGGGAGGATCTTGCTTCTCCATAAGGTGCAGGATTCCTTAGTTGTGGAGTGCTGGGAGCCCCATTTGGATATTTTTTGCTTTTTCTCCTGCATTAGAGGGTGTGTTTCTGGGTAGGGTCAATGTTTGGCAAATTGGAGATGGAAATCTTTAGCCACGCCACGCTGATGAAGACAGGACCTGTCTCCTCCTTCACGCCCATGCAGACCCAGCCCACCTCCAAAAACACATAAAAGGGAGCGTCCGCTGCCCTCCAGCCAGAGGGACTGACTTCCCTTCTTCCACCCACCTCCTCACCCACAACCCCGTCGAGTTCCTCAGCTTCTCCATTCTTGGCTCTTTTGAGGATAACCAGTCATGTCTCGTCAGTCTGTCTGCAGGAGCTTCGGAGGGGGGAGCAGAAGGGGCTTTAGCTCCTGCTCCGCAATTGGCGGCGGCTTTGGAGGCGGCGGCCGGAGCAGGAGCAGCTACAGCTCGTACTCTGTGTCCAGGGGATTCGGAGGTGGAGGACGCTGCGGGGGCTTCGGCAGCCGGAGCCTCCACAACATGGGGGGCAGCGCCAGGATTTCCATGGGCGGGTGCTACGGTGGCGGGTACGGCAGCAGGATGGGCGGCTTTGGCGGGAGCTACGGGGGTCTCGGCAGCTTTGGGGGCGGAATGGGTGGAGGAGGAGGAGGAGGAATGTGTGGCTTTGGAGGAATGGGTGGAGGAGGAATGGGTGGCTTTGGTGGTGGGATGGGTGGCTTTGGTGGTGGGATGGGTGGTGGAGGAATGGGTGGCTTTAGTGGCCCAGGCTTTGGCATGGGTGGACCTGGGAGAGGTGGCCCTGGGATCCAGCCAGTGCAGATTGACACGACCCTCCTGCGCCCGGTCCATGTTGAGATTGATCCCCAGATCCAGCAAGTTAAAAACCAGGAGAAGGAGCAGATCAAGACCCTGAACAACCAGTTTGCCTCCTTCATTGACAAGGTGAGAGGGGGAGATTGTGCCTGATAAAGGCCTAAATTAGGAGGAACTTTACAGTTGCGCAGAAATGTCCTTCTGGAGCTAAATCCCAGCAGGCAGAGAAACTTGAGCAGAGCCTTTTCATTAAGGGAGGAGATGGGAATCTCTCCTCCACACAAGATCAAAGCCATGTCTCCAGGGCTTTCATCTGTCCTGTTGCACCAAGCTCTACTCTGAGCTTACGCTCTCAAGCAGGTTCAACACCTTCAACCTCCGCAGGTTTCGGGCACAGATTCTCCCTCCTCCACCACTCTCTGCCCAAACAACCTCCCATTTAAGTATTAATTTATATATTTTTCTCTTTCAAATCTCCAGGCTTCTAAATCTAGGCTGGATATCAGATTTCCACACTACCTGTGATGGGGACAGACTTGGAGTAAGGGCAATGTGTAAAAACGCCTTTGAGTAGAAAAATATTAAAAATTTCCTTCTTTTCCTGATTTTGAAACTTAGGCACCAACAGAAAGTTTAAAAAAACAGAGTTAATTGGTTCTCTGATCTCCATACAAATCTTTGTGAGTGATGCAAGCGATGTTTTGGTGGGAGCTGTTCCTGTGTGATGGTGGGTGCTCCATGTCTTGGCTGTAGGTCCGATTCCTGGAGCAGCAGAACAAGGTGCTCTCCACCAAGTGGGAGCTGCTCCAGCAGCAAGGGCCGTCGGGGCCCAGGAAGAACCTGGATGTCATCTTTGAGAACTACATCCAGAACCTGCGGAGGCAGCTGGAATCAATCCTGGCGCAGCGGGGCCAGCTGGAATCGGAGCTGCAGAACATGCAGCAGTACGTCGAGGATTACAAAACCAAGTGAGTGCGGAGCCAGGAGCAGCTCAAGCAGCCTTTTGGTCACTTTAATTTTCCCCCACTGCTTTTTATGGTGATAGTGGAGATAGTTTTTCAACCTAAATGTTTTAATTTAGTGATTTTTTTCCCTTTTAGTTTGTTTCTAATGGCCTTAGGCAGGAAAGTCCAGGAATACAATTTGCACTTTTCCTCTCCATAGGTATGAGGAAGAGATCAACCGGCGCACGACAGCCGAGAATGAGTTTGTGGTGCTGAAGAAGGTGAGTCACGGGAATCACAAAATAATCCCTTAATATTTCCCACAGCTTTACCTGTGCTTGAATGGGAATTGTGGAGTTTTAAGATGTCCCAGTTGATATCTGGAATCCCTTATAGTCAATTTGAATAAGTGGATGACACCATAACATTATTTACTTTTAATTATTTACATATATGGTTACTGAATTATATATAAGCATAATGATGTCCCAGTGAATAACATCAAACTCTCAGCACAGATGGCGATTCCCACAGGCCTGAAGGATTCCCAAGAGGAAAAAAATTATTTTCTGTGGGATCTTTCCTTTAGGATGTGGACAGTGCCTACATGACCAAAGTCGAGCTGGAGGCCAGGGTGGGAGCTCTGACAGATGAAATCAACTTCCTGAGGTGCATCTATGAGGAGGTAGGAGCTCTCTCTTCTCCTGGGGGACTGAAATTTTCATCAGGTGTGTGGTGGCCAAGGACACTGAGGTTGGACGGGGTGTCTGTGTCTGGGTGGATTTAGGCTTGAGATGATGCCTCTGACTCATGTCTTGGTTGCAGGAGCTGTCTCAGATGCAGACGATCAGCCGGGACCTGTCCGTGGTGGTGTCCATGGACAACAACCGGCACCTGGACCTGGACAGCATCATCGAGGAGGTCCGGCGCCAGTACGAGCAGATTGCCCAGAGCAGCCGGGCTGAGGCTGAGGCCTGGTACCAGAGCCAGGTGAGTCAGGGAGCAGTCGAGACTCCTGGGTGTGGCTGGGTGATTTACAATAATTTATGTCTGGGTGAGACACCTTTTCAAGCTAACGGGGCTGGAGCTTGTGGCGCAAGGAAGGTCCAGAGGGACTGAACTGCTTTTGAGGGATCTGACTCACTGTTTCCAATGCGTCCCAAACTCACCGAGGTGTGTGGCACAAATTGATGCCTTGGGAGGCTGCCTAGAACAGAGGCCAGGCAGTGTTAAAGGAATAAAGTAGGTATTTATTAAAAAGGCCTTCAAATGATACACCTTGGTCAGTACAAGAGCCAGCCAGGGCTACCAAGGTGGACCCAAGATGGACAACAGGTCATGAGTTTTCACACTTTTATAGGTTTTGGTCCATTTACATATTGAGGTTAATTGTCCAATTACAGCTTCAGGTTATAAAGTCCCATCCTTCCAGACTGTGCTCAATTTGCTGTTATTTTTGCTTTTTGGGCCTGAAGCTTGGCTTTTGGGCTGGAAAAAGATTGTTTTGTCTCACTAAACTGTGAGTAGAACTTGCTAACACTTTATATGAGGTTCAGAGTTATATACTAATGCAGTACAGAATCTGGATAATATGAACACTCTGGATAAAAATCACCCAAAATGCACCTTAATGAGAAAATTCCAGCCCAAGTGACTTTTCAGAAGCAAAGAGATGCTTTATAGTGTCACTAAGATCCATTTCAAAGCTCAAACCCCATGACTGAGTCCCAGAGCCACCTTGACCACTGAGCTGGGCATCCATCGTCAGTGCAGTGGGTCCTCATAGGGTCACCTGAGCCTTGAAACTGGGGGCAAATCTCCCTGAGGCACCAGGAACGTGTCACTGATGGGTCGATCTGTCTTGGTGCCATCAGTACGAGCAGCTCCAGAGCACGGCCGGCCGGCACGGGGACAACCTCCGCAACACCAAGATTGAGATCCAGGAGCTGACCAGGAATGTCCAGAGGCTGCGGGCTGAGATTGAGAACGTGAAGAAGCAGGTAGGGATTGGTTGATGTCTCAGGGATGAGATTTGAGGACATGAAGAAAGGAAGGGGCTGGTTGGTGTCTCAGGGGAGGATGGCAGCAGGTTGCATCACAAAAGACCATGAGTGGGGCAGAAACCTTCTGTCACCCCAAGTTCACTTCATGCATATATTTTTTTGCCTCTGGATTTCTCCTCTTGGGGGTCTGAGGACTGATCATTAGGGACAAAATGAGGTCTGAGAAAGCTCCCATTGTGCTCCCCAGAACCAACAGCTGCAGGCAGCCATTGCTGAGGCTGAGGAGAGGGGGGAGATGGCTCTCAAAGATGCCAGGTTGAAGCTGGAAGAGCTGGAGAGTGCCCTGCAGAAGGACAAGGAGGAGCTGGCTCGCCTGCTGAAGGAGTACCAGGAGCTTCTGAACGTCAAGATTGCACTGGATGTTGAGATTGCCATGTACAGGAAGCTGCTGGAGGGAGAGGAGAACAGGTAAACAACTGAGATCTCATTGGGTGCTGTGATCTACACCTGGAATATTAACTGAAATCCCAAAACAATTCTTTGGGCTAAAGGGTAAATGTTGTGCTTGATACTTTGTGGGGTATTCTGGGGGTCAGGACACTTAACTGGCTCCCTAGCGGTGGCAGAGCTGCTGCCCCATCTCTGCCACTGGTGACTTTTTAATGGACCTCAAATCTGGAGAAACCTCATTGTAAAGAGGAATTGCCAACCCCTTCCGTCCTCCAATCTTTTAGTGATTCCAAAGTGGTTTAGGAGGGTGAACCAGGAAAATGATTGGACAGCCAAAACACACTTTAAAGTTTTTACAACCTCTCTTTTATTGGGTAATTAAAATGTCCAATTTCCTTCACAGGCTCTGCAACGACAGCATGGCCAACGTCAATGTCTGTAAGTATCTGCCCTGGGGTCCTCCAGAAAAAGCATCAGACTGTTTTATCAGAGACAGAGCCTGCGACTGGGGAACGGGAACATAACCTGTGCTTCTTTTCCAGCTGTGGTAGGCAGGACGACTGTCTCTGGAGGCAGAGGAGGCATGGGAGGAGGATTCGGAGGCAGCGGCATGGGAGGAGGATTCGGAGGCGGCAGCTGCGGAATGGGAGGAGGATTTGGAGGCGGCAGCGGCATGGGAGGAGGAATGGGAGGAGGCGGCATCTGCGGAGGAGGCAGCAGCTTTGGAGGAGGCAGCATGGGCGGCAGCTGTGGGATGGGGGGAGGAATGTACTCCGGTGGCTTCTCCTCTGGAAGCGGAAGGATGTGCGGCTCTGGCGGGGGATCCTCCTCCGTGCGGAGATGCGTCACCACCACCTCGGTCAAATCTTCGGGAGTGAGATTCTGAGCCCCGAAGGTTGACAAGGAAAGAAGCACCTCCTCTCTCCCCCTGGCAGCAGCCCAGCCTCCTGAAGCCCAGCTCTGGTGTCGTGCAATGGGATGAACTGTGTCCCTCCCACCCAGCTTGTCCCAGACCCTGGTCCCACCCGGCGGTTTGGTGGTGATGCCGTGGGTGTGCTGGCACCGGGAGCTGCCCGGCAGGAGGGGCTGCTCTGCCTTCCTTGCTGTGTTGTACATTTCTTTTGGCAAATGTGTATAAAACTCCTCTTTCCTCCTCTCTCCTCCTGTTCTGTGTCCCTGGGGTGCTTCTGTGTGTGTCCATCCTGCTGTTCCCTTTGCAGGCCTTTGGGGTCAGGGTGGGTGTGAGGCAAGTGGGACTCATCCCTTGGGGAGGGGGCATCTCAGGCAGCGGCTGGAGGGAGGAGCTTGCCCAGGGTGGAGCTTTTGGGCAGCTTTGCTTTTTGGGAGCCCCAGGCGTGCTGCCAGCACACCTTCCCTGGAGCTACAGCTTCCATTCCACTAGTTCCGGCTCTCAGTGACACCTCCGACACCGCACAGACACCTGGACTATTCCTAAGGAGAACAAAACTGTCCTTCAGTGCCCAGCTCCCATGACACAGTGTAGTGTCCCCACCTCCCCCCCTCCTCTGTGGGCTGCCCTCCTTCCTTGAGATGTTTCCATTCCCAATAAATTGCAGAGAATATTCACGATTGCTGTGTTGTTGCTTTGGGAGCTGCTCTGGGCAGGGTGGGAGAGGGGGTTTTTCTCCTGCCTGTCCCTATGTTTTGAGGGAGCAGATCAGTGGTGAGGATGGATCAGAGCAGGTGCCCCAGCTCAGATGATGTTCTTGACTCTCCCCTGGAGGCACAAGCCTATATCTGGAATGGTGGAGGTCTGGATCCTTCTGCTGAACAATGAGAAATAAGACCCCAGGTTGGAGACCTGGAATCATTGAATAATGGAATGGTTTGGATTGGAAGGGACCATAAAGATCATTTAATTCCAACCCCCTGCCATGAACAGGGACACCTTCCACTAGATGGAAGGTGTCGCACCCCTTGGACCAACCAATGAAATTAAGTTGCTCCTTCTAAGGTTCCTTTGGGATCATCTCCAGGTGCAGGAGACTTTGACCTGCTTTAGGTGAAGGAGATGGCACCACTGTTGCCGTGTGCAGTGGTGGGAGGGCAGGTGAATATGGATCAGGATGTTGGTGAGGCACCTGCCACTGGCTGCAGTCAGGCACAAGCTCATCTGCCCCAGGATGAGCCATGATTCCAGCGTGGGAACACAATGGGCTGGGAAGGTGTGATTCACCCCCATCCATGAGCTCAGGTACCATCCTCTCCCTGAGAAGCCAATTAATTCCACAGCAGCTCATCCTTGCTCCAAGAGCAGGAGGGAGAGAGATTTGGAGGACCTCAAGGTTCTAGTTTGGGAGGGGAGTCCAGAGTGTTTGATCTGAGCTGTGCTGTGGTTCCTCCACCACCTGGAGAGATCAAAGAGGCACAAAATGCTGTCAGTGGTGGTTCAGGAACCCCACAACAGCCTCTGTGAGTTGCTGATGGTGCCAGAGTGGATCAGGAAGCTGCAGACTGAGGAAGAGGTCCAGGAAAGGCAACAGGGAATGACTACAGGCTTCTTGGAAGAGACAATTATACCATTGGAAGCCCAGCAGGAGGGTGCCAGGGTTGGGGAACGTGGCTGGGTTTGGTCCAACAAGAAGATGCTGAGAAGGCTCTGAGAAGCTGATGTTGTGCCAGGAGCACTTTGAGGTTTGGCTTGGGGCAAGAGTCACCTGTTTTGGTGCTTAATTTTAACAGTCTGTTTATTCTCAGCTTCAAAATCCAGAACACAGCATTGTAGTGCCATGTGAAGAGTCATTGCAACACCTCTTCTGTGCAAGATCCATGATGGAAGTCCTTGGCTGGGTCAGATGTGAAGCCGGAGCGTGGCTTTGGTCTCCATCCACGTTTTCTGCCGAGTTCACATTTTCCCTGGTGTTGATCTTACCATGTTCAACTCCTTGTGTAAGAGATCTGAAGGATCAGTTTGGTGTTGAGTCTTACCTGAAGGAGGCTGAAGTGACTCCAGGTTTGGAATAATCTGCACATCTTGTCTGAGGATGTCAGAGTGACTCAGTCTGGGCGTCTTATCTGCAGGAGCTGAGTGTGGTCAGCACCCAGGCATCTGGCTGACTTTGCAGATCTTCCTCCTTGCTGTGAACCTCCTCGTGGGATATTCCAGTGAAGTGCTGGTGCCTTCATAACATGGGTTTGGCAGCTGGGAGGGAGGCCAGGAGAAGGGACAATCTGCTTTCTCCACCTAAACCCGAACCACTCTGCAGCTGCCCAGGCTGCTCGTCATGAGCAAGTGAGCTGGGCTGCAGGATGGTCTGGAGAGCTTAAATGTCCGTCTGGGAGATGACCATGGAGAAACCAGCCCATCTTGATTGCAGCTGCTCTTGGAAAGGAGGGTGTCCCCTCCGTGCTTTGAGGGTGCTGTCCATTCTCCAGCTGCAGGAACACACACCTGGGCAACCTTCGGCCAGCCACTGGTCCCCCTCAAATCTGGATAACCTTGTCCCTCAAGGGTGGGACAATCCTTGGCCAACTCTTACCTGAATCCCTTGAGAGGGGGATAATCTTGACCAACCAGGAGCTAGGAGTGGGACAACTCTCATTCAAATGTTACTGAGCCCCCAGGAGTGGGATAACTGTTGGCCAACTGTTGAGTCTCCCAAGGGTGGGATAACCCTTGGCTGACCATTGACTCCCTCAAGGGGAATGTTCTCCTCTTCCTGTTCCAGGTTGACTGGGGGGCTCAGTACCCCTGTCCCAGTGACAGTCAGGGACATTTCAGTTTTTGATGCCTCTTGTTACCTTCAAACCACATTTAGTTGCCTAGATCTCACTGGGAACTCTGAAAATTTCTTCTCAAGTTCTGTGTTCATATACAGGTCTTTTGAATGGCCTTAAATTCATGTTTCAAGGGCTAGAACGTGCATTTTCTGCAATTTTTTCATTACTTGTGCTGTTTTCTAGGAAAATGTGAACATTCATTTTCTATTTAATTCATTAAATTATTCAGGTATTTAATTGATAATATCCAGGTACATAAAACCTTTAGAATGCCTCTTACATAGTATTTACAGACTTGGCTTCCTTTTAAACTAAAATCTACTTTTTTTTTTTTTAAACACATTGATATTATTTGTATTTTCTGTAATTAATTAAATTTCATTTACATGTAACACACAAAAAACGGTTTATTTCAGAGACATTTTATAAAATACATTTCTAAACCACATTCCTTACCCAATAAATTATTTGGAAGCAAAAGGTTATACTGTGCCTTGGGGGTCGTAACAGCTCCATTTCTCAGCAGGCTTTTCCACGTCAGTCATCTCATTTTTGGGGAAAAAAAGGTAATTCAGAGGTTGTGGGATTCACCAGAGTAGCAGGAACCCCTTACCATTTCAAATTGTTCATCTGTCGCTCCTCTTCCATAGTGTTTGTCTGTCTGTCCCTGACATTGTCGCCAAAGGGTTCCCAATGTGTCACTTCATTCTTCCTCAAGTTGTCATTCCCTGTCACCCTCAGAACATTGAGGAGAGTGGGATGATTCCAGTCATATTCTTCCCTCTGCTTCAGCATCATCCAAAGCCCCAGCTGGTTGTCCCAGATTTGCGGAGTTGCAAGTGGAGGGAATTCAGTCTACAGGCTGAAGACACTCCCACTGTAGTGACACCACATGCTCCAAGGAGATATTTTTCCTCTCTATCAGGAGAATATGCTGAGTCTCCTCAAATTTTGGTGTCATGAATTCCCATTTAGGATTGGGAAACATCTCCTGAAACGCAAATGCAATTTAACATATAAAAAGGAGATTAAGGGTGTGTGTAAGGAATTGTGAAAGCCATATTATAGCTGGGATTTCATCAAAACTTTTGTCTCCTGTGGAGCTTTGATAGGGAGATCTTTATCTGGAATTATTGGGAGTCACTAATGAGGGCTGGATAGCCAATGAGGGGCTGCAGAAAAGGGATTTATGAATAAAATTGATTTCCAAGATGTCATAAAGATATGAGAGTCCACTTAGTCATGGAAACGTGTCTCGAAGCTCTTTTTTTATTCACCTCTAGATTACAGGGTGTGTTTCTGGGAAGCCCCAAATATGGCAAAGCTCATGGAGAATCTGTCAACAACCCCATGCTGATGAAAATACTAAATTGCTTTCCACCTTCACACCCAAGCTGTCCCAGCCCACCTCCAGCAGTGGATAAAAGGGAATGCCCAAAGCTGCTGGAGCCAGAGAAGACTCTGCAGACTTCTTTCTGCCCTCATCAACTCTGTTGGTCTTTCTGCTCTTCTGGATTTTGATTCTGCTTGGAAGAAACCAGCCATGTCTCGTCAGTCTGTCTGCTTTGGAGTCGGGGGGAGAAAGGGATTCAGCTCCTGCTCTGCTGTCGGTGGTGGATTTGGAGGCGGTGGTGGCCGGAGCAAGATCAGCTACAGCTCGTACTCCTCATCCCGGGGAGGAAGCGGAGGAGGACACTGTGGGGGGTTCAGTAGCCGGAGTCTCCATAGCACGGGGGGCAGCAGAAGGATTGCCATGGGCGGATGTTATGGTGGTGGTGGATACGGTGGCAGGATGGGTGGCCTTGGTGGAGGAATGAGCTGTGGAGGCATGGGTGGTGGTGGAATGGGTGGTGGAGGAATGGGAATGGGTGGCTTTGGTGGTGGAATGGGTGGTGGGGCAGGAATGGGTGGCTTTGGTGGTGGAATGGGCAGTGGGGGAATGGGTGGAATGGGTGGCTTTGGTGGTCCAGGCTTCTCTGGAGGCATTCAGCCGGTGCAAGTTGACCCCAGCCTCCTGCGTCCGGTCCATGTTGAGATCGACCCCCAGATCCAGCAAGTTAAAAATCAGGAGAAGGAGCAGATCAAGACCCTGAACAACCAGTTTGCCTCCTTCATCGACAAGGTGAGAGTTTAGGACGGGGTTTTTTTGGAGGTGGAATGTCAAACAACTTTCTTGGGCTATGGACTGGGAATTTTTTCACCTACGAACAGTTGTTGGAGTTGTCAGACCAATGCCTCAGCATCAAATTGTAATTAGTCAGGTTTACTTAATAAGTAACACCAAACAATAGAGGAGGTTTTTTGCTAATGGAAGATTAAAGAGAACATCTGCAGGATATTCTGGGGATTGTCTAGCCAAGCCACTTTTGCAGCCTCATTTTGGGTGATTCAGGGCAAAGTCATGACTGTAAATTTAATTGTCCTAAGAGTTCTCATTGCTGGGATTTGCTTTTTGATGAAACTTTCTTCTCAAAGCCTGATTCTAGAAACTGCAGAGCATTAAACCCCTTTCCAATACTCTTGGATTATTTTAATTTCAAATAGAAGCCAAAGAAATATAAAATCCATCCCAAGAGAATGCATGGGTGGTTAGGGAATAAAAATTTCATCTTTCTTGACTTCAGTGCTGGAAAGATGATGACAAAGTCCAATCCTGATGCTATGGAAAATTGGGATGATATCTTTACTGGGAACATTGCTTTGTCCCCATGGAAGAAGTTCAGAATGACTCAAAATTAATTGTCGAATAACAAATAAATTAAAAAATGCTTCTCATGCACCTCAGGAGCCTGAATGAGACATAGATGGGGAATGATTCCCTGGGCACCCAAATCTCCTAGGAGCGGGATGTGTCTCTGGTGAATGTCTCACACACGCTTTGTTGGCTGTAGGTCCGATTCCTGGAGCAGCAGAACAAGGTGCTCTCCACCAAGTGGGAGCTGCTCCAGCAGCAAGGGCCGTCGGGGCCCAGGAAGAACCTGGATGTCATCTTTGAGAACTACATCCAGAACCTGCGGAGGAGGCTGGAATCAATCCTGGGGCAGCGGGGCCAGCTGGAATCGGAGCTGCAGAACATGAGGCAGTATGTGGAGGAGTTCAAAACCAAGTGAGTGTGGGGACAGACGGGGAGGGACGAGGGGGAGAGCGGGGCTGATGTGGAGACCCCACGGGTGGAGTGACCACTGCAGGGGAGCACCCCCAGGGGTCTCAGAGGGGGTCTCAGAGTCTCACCTCGTCCTGTCTTGCCACAGGTATGAGGAGGAGATCAACCGTCGCACGGCTGCTGAGAACGAGTTTGTGGTGCTGAAGAAGGTGAGTCTGGAAGACACCAGCAGGGATAGGGTGAGGGGGGACAGGAGGTAAAGACATGGCAAGGACTCAGCTCCAAGATGGGCAGAAGCCAACGGGAAGAGCCAACAGCTCTTGTGCGATGAAAGGAAGCCATGGTCTAATTCTGAGATCTTTCCTTTAGGATGTGGACTGTGCCTACATGACCAAAGTTGAGTTGGAAGCCAAGGTGGGAGCTCTGACAGATGAAATCAACTTCCTGAGGTGCATCTACGAGGAGGTAGGAGCTCTCTCTTCCCCTTGGTGAAGTTTTAGTGAGGGTGTGGTGACCAAAGTCACTGAGGTTGGACTGAGCGTCTTTGTGGATTTGATCTGGAGAGGTTGCCTGGAGCTACTCTCTTCTCCCCCCTCAAGAGATGGTGCCTCTGACACATGTCTTGGTTGCAGGAGTTGTCTCAGATGCAGACGATCAGCCGGGACCTGTCCGTGGTGGTGTCCATGGACAACAACCGGCACCTGGACCTGGACAGCATCATCGAGGAGGTCCGGCGCCAGTACGAGCAGATTGCCCAGAGCAGCCGGGCTGAGGCTGAGGCCTGGTACCAGAGCCGGGTGAGTTGGGAAGGGCTCAAGGCTCCTTGACAGTCCCCGCTGTTTGAACCACCTGATCTTTTGTGTGCTTTGTTCCTCATGGGTGTCCTTGTCCCCACTTCTCCAGTATGAAGAGCTCCAGAACACTGCTGGAAAACACGGGGACAGCCTCCGCAACACCAAGATTGAGATCCAGGAGCTGACCAGGAATGTCCAGAGGCTGCGGGCTGAGATTGAGAATGTGAAGAAGCAGGTAGGAGACCATCAGCTCCTCCTTGGGTAACAGCTTTGTGCTGGGTCAGGATGGGGCTGGGTGGTAAGAGGGAAAGCAATCATGAAAATTCAAACGCTTTGGAGAAGATAGATTATGTCTGTCTGTTTTCCCCCTTGTTTGTACCATGAAGATGCTCCAGTAGACCGTGGGCAAAAGGGATCTCACACACTGGTTTTCTCTTCCTCAGATCCAGCAGCTTCAGGCAGCCATCGCTGAGGCTGAGGAGAGGGGCGAGATGGCCATCAAGGATGCCAGGAGGAAGCTGGAAGAGCTGGAATGTGCCCTGAACAAGGACAAGGAGGAGCTGGCTCGCCTGCTGAAGGAGTACCAGGAGCTGCTGAACACCAAAATTGCACTGGATGTTGAGATTGCAATGTACAGGAAGCTCCTGGAGGGAGAGGAGAACAGGTACCTAATTGGGTAAAACCTTTGAACCCACACTAAAGATTGATTTTGTGCCATTTACGCTCTAATTCCCAAGTACATATTAATTATGTTAGGCTTAAACATACTTGAGTGGGTTTTCCATCTTAAAAGAATGTTGCTTGTTTCTCTAAAGAATAATTGGAAAATACTGAAAAAAATTTGAATAGGTTGCTCATTTTTTTAAAGAATAATTGAGAAACATAAACTTGTACAAGAAAAGGAAATTCTCAGCTGAAGAGCCGTGCACTTCCCAGTGGAATAACTGGTCCCATTTTCCCTCACAGGCTGTGCAATGACAGCATGTCCAACGTCAATGTCTGTAAGTATCTGCCCTGGGGTCCTTCAGAAGTGGTAGAACTTGTTCTTTTGGGCAACAGGTGAGTAACCTGTGCTTGTCTTCCAGCTGTGGTAGGCAAGACAACTGTCTCTGGAGGCAGAGGAGGCATGGGAGGAGGATTCGGAGGCAGCGGCATGGGAGGAGGATTCGGAGGCGGCAGCTGCGGAATGGGAGGAGGATTTGGAGGCGGCAGCGGCATGGGAGGAGGAATGGGAGGAGGCGGCATCTGCGGAGGAGGCAGCAGCTTTGGAGGAGGCAGCATGGGCGGCAGCTGTGGGATGGGGGGAGGAATGTACTCCGGTGGCTTCTCCTCTGGAAGCGGAAGGATGTGCGGCTCTGGCGGGGGATCCTCCTCCGTGCGGAGATGCGTCACCACCACCTCGGTCAAATCTTCGGGAGTGAGATTCTGAGCCCCGAAGGTTGACAAGGAAAGAAGCACCTCCTCTCTCCCCCTGGCAGCAGCCCAGCCTCCTGAAGCCCAGCTCTGGTGTCGTGCAATGGGATGAACTGTGTCCCTCCCACCCAGCTTGTCCCAGACCCTGGTCCCACCCGGCGGTTTGGTGGTGATGCCGTGGGTGTGCTGGCACCGGGAGCTGCCCGGCAGGAGGGGCTGCTCTGCCTTCCTTGCTGTGTTGTACATTTCTTTTGGCAAATGTGTATAAAACTCCTCTTTCCTCCTCTCTCCTCCTGTTCTGCGTCCCCAGCTCCCTTCCTCTGTGTGTGTGTCCTGCCCTCCTTCCCTGGGATGTTGCCATTCCCAATAAATTGCAGAGAACATTCACGATGTTGTTGTGTCAATGCTTCGGGAGCCACTCTGGGCAGGGCGGTTCATGCTTTGGGAAGCAGCTCGTTGTGAAGCTGGGAGGGTCATTCTTTGCTCAATGTGTCGTACCTGTGCTTTGATGGAGGTGAACAGGTGGGGTGGACCAGGGCAGCCATCACAGCTCAAGTGATGACTGACTCTCACCTGAGGGCACAAGTCCGGATGCTGGGTGCTGGATGCTCAGTTCACACAACACTCAGTAACTGAGGCAGCAGAAGACCAAACTGAGGAATACAGGAGCCTGCTCAATTCTTAGGCATCTCCTGACACAGTGAATCATACAGTTCGTCCCTGGAATCCTGTGGAGTTACTCCCACAGCAGATTTCTGCAATTGATGGGTCTGGAAAGCTCCAGCACAAAGAGTTCCAGTATCTTCCCAGTCATTGAGCTAATACAAGCTGCCCTGCCCCAGTTTTTTGGGCTCAGCTTTAGGCACACAGAGGCACTCAGTGCCTCAGTGCCCGCGTCACATCTCCCCAGATGTGGCAACACTCTGATTCCTGAAGCTCTAGGAAAGGGACTTTCTCAATCCCTCTTGGACTTTGGAAGCTCTGCAAAGGGTCTGCCGAAACCTGTGTCCCGGAATTTGGTCAGGAACATTCTCAGTGCCCCGTTTCCAGACCAGTAGAGACCCAAAGGGGCTGATGGATAATGAGAATCAGCAGCAGCAGGTGGGAGCCAACACTGGATAAGAGTCATCTGAGTTTTCTGCCTCTGAGTGGTCTTCGAGTTGTGATGAGGGAGTGGCAGGGTAGAAGCCCCTTGGGTGGGGGAGCTGGTGAACATGGGTCACAATGAATCAGGATGTTGGTCAAGCACCTGCCTCGGGTGCACACCTGGGCTGTGGGATGGCCAGGTGGGATGCACAGCTTGGCACCCAGAGAGCAGGGGTAGCACCAGAGAGCCACGTAGCATCCCTGACCAGCCATGGGAACACAATGGGCTGGGAAGGTGTGATTCATCCCCGTCCATGAGCTCAGGTACCATCCTCTCCCTGAGAAGCCAATTAATTCCCCAGTGGCCCATCCTTGCTCCAAGAGCAGGACAGATCTGGAGGAGCTCAAGGCGGGGGTGTTGCTATAGAGCACGACACGGCGCAAGTACCAAGACTCAGATCAGAAGGCTGTATAGGGCTATTTATTAAAGCAAGAGGTTGCCTTTATAGTTTTACAGGATATTTACATTTGCTTAACAAACACATACACTGTCCATTGGTCATGAAATAGAAACAAAACCTTCAATAGGTGAAAAGGAGCCATGTGAGCCAACTAAAGTCCATATCTTTTGATTTTCTCTCTTTCTTCATGTTGTCATGGTGATATCCTTGGTACCTTCCTTGAGAGAGATACAAGGCTTTCCTTATCTTTGGGAAGGCTTTGCTGGCTCACAAGAACAGCACAAAAATCTCTTTCCTACACGGGGGCTTGGGAGGGGAGTCCAGAGTGTTTGATCTGTGGTTTCTCCACCACCTGGAGAGATCAAAGAGACAGAAAATGCTGTCAGTGGTGGTTCAGGAGTCCCACAACAGCCTCTGGGAGTTGCTGATGTTGCCAGAGTGGGATAGGAAGCTGCAGACTGAGGAAGAGGTCCAGGAAAGGCAGTGAGCTCATGGAAAAGGGGGTTCTCCCCATGTTGAAGGGTGCTGGAGCTGGAATTGTGGCTGGGTTTGGCCCAAATAAAGATGCTGAGTAGGCAATGCCTGTGCAAAGCTGGTGTTGTGCCAGGAGCACTTTGAGGTTTGGCTTGGGGCAAGAGTCACCTGTTTTGGTGTTTAATCACCTGTTTCGGTGTATAATTTCAAGGGCCTGTTTCTTCTAAACTTTACAACAAACTTTACATGGCGTTGTAGTGCTGCTGTGAAGAGTCATTGCGACACCTCCTGCGTGCTCCTGGCTGGGTTAGATGTGAAGCCGGAGCGTGGCTTTGGTCTCCATCCGTGTTTTCTGCCGAGTTCACATTTTCCCTGGTGTTGATGATTCTGCTGTGCACAGCTCCTTGCGCAAGAGATCTGAGGGCATGGCTGGAGCCCAGCTGCCTGTCGAGTTTTACCTGGAGGAGACTCCAGTGACTCCAGGTTTGGAATAATCTGCACATCTTGTCTGAAGATGTCAGAGTGACTCAGTCTGGGCGTCTTATCTGCAGGAGCTGAGTGTGGTCAGCACCCAGGCATCTGGCTGACTTTGCAGATCTTCCTCCTTGCTGTGAACCTCCTCGTGGGATATTCCAGTGAAGTGCTGGTGCCTTCATACCATGGGTTTGGCAGCTGGGAGGGAGGCCAGGAGAAGGGACAACCTGCTTTCTCCACCTAAACCTGAACCACTCTGCAGCTGCCCAGGCTGCTCGTCATGAGCAAGTGAGCTGGGCTGCAGGATGGTCTGGAGAGCTTAAATGTCCATCTGGGAGATGACCATGGAGAAACCAGCCCATCTTGATTGCAGCTGCTCTTGGAAAGGAGGGTGTCCCCTTCGTGCTGTGGGGATGTTGTCCATTCTCCAGCTGCAGGAACAACACCTGGGCAATCTTTGGCCAACCATGACTTGTGTCCCTCAAGGGTGGGATAGCCCTTTGCCAACTGTTTAGTCCATTAAAGGAGGGATAATCCTTGGCGACCTGTTGTGTCCTTCAGTTGCTGAATAACTGCTGGCAACTGTTGAGTCCCTTAGAGTGGGATAATCTTGGCCAACATTTGAATCCACGTCAAGGGTAACGTCCTCTCCTTCCTCCCATTCCACACAGCCTGTGGTTCCAGAAGCATCGTCCCAGTGACAATCAATAAAATTCATGTTTCTGATTCCTTCTGTGGCTTTTGGAAATGTTTTCCTGGGCTGGTTCTCCAAAGTGTTTGCTGTGTCCATGGCCACCAGCTGATTCCTAGGGATGCTTTCAAACCACATTTACCTGCCCAAATCTCTCCGGTATGATGAGGAGAAGCAGCTGAGAAGCTTAAAACCAGGATATTTTTTGAGTGCTGAAATGCTTCAAGATATGTATTTCCCTTGACTTTTATTCATGATTTTAAGGAAATAGGAATGAAGGAAATGTTAGTGTTTTTTACCAATAAAATCAATAAATGTAACAAAAATATTTATTTGATTAGTGAGGCTCAGTAGGTACATTACAAGATGTCCTTCACGTGAGTGTCCGAACCCATTGCCGGGGAGCTGGTGCATGAAATGAAACATTATTGTCAGTCATCATTACAACATCTACTGCCTGGAGCGTCCTTTCCATCCTCTGTGGCTTGACAATCCCTGTGGCCATTGGAAAAGCACAAGCAAAGAGTTGGACATCCTTGTTCTCTTGCTCTGGTGCTCAGAATCCCAGGACCTGATTGTCTCAGACTTCGTGGGACACATTTTGGAGGGAAAAATTCCACCTGACGCTCTTAGGAAGGAACTAAGCAGCTCCTTTCTGGTTAAAACAGAAATGCTGACCTGTTAAATGTTAATGATACAGCATTTTTCCACTTGTAAAGCCATTGGGAATTTTCTGCTTAACAAGGCGATGAGGTGTGCTTGGGGGAATTGTGAAAGACTCATTCTATCTGGGTTTCACCAAAATCCTTGCCTGGTGTGGAGTGTCAGGCAAAAAAATCTCGAGTCAGACAACCTTAGGAGCAGGCAGGGAAGTGGGAGGCGGGAAGAACATGACAACATCACTGTAAAATATATTTTTCCTGATGACATAAAGATATGGGAGTCCACTTACTCACAGAGACCTGCCTTGGTGCTCCTGCTTCTCCCTCTGCATGGTGAAGCGGATTTCTGGGTGGAGTCACCAATTTGGCAAAAAATCTGTTAACCGCACCAAGCTGATGAAGACAGTAAATTTGTTTCCTCTTCACGCCCAAGTTGTCCCAGCCCACCTCCAGGAGCAGATAAAAGGGAATGCCTGGAGCTGTGGAGCCAGAGAAGACTCTGAGCACTTCTCTCTGCCCAGCTCAGCTCTGTGGATCTCCTCACCTTCTCCAGTTTGGGCTCTTTTGAGGAGAAGCAGTCATGTCTCGTCAGTCTGTCTGCAGAAGCTTCGGAGTTGGGAGCAAAAGGGGATTCAGCTCCTGCTCTGCTGTTGGTGGTGGCTTTGGAGGCGGCGGCCGGAGCAGAATCAGCTACAGCTCGTTCTCTACATCCAGGGGGATTGGAGGTGGTGGACCCTGTGCAGGATTCAGCAGCCGGAGCCTCCACAACCTGGGTGGCAGCACAAGGATTTCCATGGGCAGCTCATACGGCAGTGGCTATGGTTGTAGAATTGGTGGCTTTGGTGGAGGATTTCCAGGAGGATTCGGTGGCATTGGAGGAGGTGTCATTGGTGGAGGAATGGGTGGCTTTTGTGGCCCCATCAGAGGTGGCCCCGGGTTCCCTGGAGGCATCCAGCCGGTGCAGGTGGACCCAACCCTCCTGCGGCCAGTCCACGTTGACATTGACCCTCAGATCCAGCAAGTGAAGTGCCAGGAGAAGGAGCAGATCAAGACTCTGAACAACCAGTTTGCCTCCTTCATCGACAAGGTGAGAGGTTGGAGTTGGATTTGCTTGGGAATGGGAAAACTGCAGAAATTCCTTGTGCTCTGGAGAAGGAAATATCGTCCTTCTCAGTTCAGTGTTGGGCTGTAATTGTTTCCATTCCATTCCACCTGGTTTCCTCCTGAGGAAGTGTCAAAATTTAGCATCCACAGAGAAACTGAACAACTTTCTCCAGGTTTGGTGGATGCACACTGGTTTTCACTCCAGTGTAGACAGGCCAAAGGGATGGGGATATACTCAGTGATCAAAGTGTTTATTTAAGTCTGTCCTTTCTCTAGGATAATTTTTTTCTCAAGGAACTTAAAATCTAGGAATGAAATTTTTAAAAATTCCCAACCATTTCTTCTTTCAGTTTAAGTGCAGATGAGCCCCCTTTAAATAATCTGAACTGGGAGAATTTTGGTTATAAGCGTGCTCTATGTCTTTTAAATATATGATGTGTATATGGAATAATTTCTGTGGCTGATAAGAGGAATGTTCTTGAATATGGAGCCCAATGGGATTTCCTTCACTGGTAGGTCAAAAAGGATCTGATGCTCCTGAAAATTAATGTCAAAAAATCCTGACATTGGAAATAATTTGTAAGACTGGAATGGAAGCATTTCAATAGCTACCCCCAGGAAAAAAAGAAAAAAAAGAAAAAAACAGAGCAGAGACACTGGAGGAGGAAAGAGGAATTTAACAATAATGGGAAAAAAAAGGAGAAAAAAGGGAGGAATTTTCCCCTCAGAAGCAGTGGGAAGGGTTTTGGGGATTGATTCCCATGGCCTTACAAAGCTCCCCGGAGCTTTGAACAGTGGGATGTCTCTCTGGTGAATGTCTCACACACGCTTTGTTGGCTGTAGGTCCGATTCCTGGAGCAGCAGAACAAGGTGCTCTCCACCAAGTGGGAGCTGCTCCAGCAGCAAGGGCCGTCGGGGCCCAGGAAGAACCTGGATGTCATCTTTGAGAACTACATCCAGAACCTGCGGAGGAGGCTGGAGTCTCTGCTGGGGCAGCGGGGCCAGCTGGAATCGGAGCTGCAGAACATGAGGCAGTATGTGGAGGAGTTCAAAACCAAGTGAGTGTGGGGACAGACGGGGAGGGACGAGGGGGAGAGCGGGGCTGATGTGGAGACCCCACGGGTGGAGTGACCACTGCAGGGGAGCACCCCCAGGGGTCTCAGAGGGGGTCTCAGAGTCTCACCTCGTCCTGTCTTGCCACAGGTATGAGGAGGAGATCAACCGTCGCACGGCTGCTGAGAACGAGTTTGTGGTGCTGAAGAAGGTGAGTCTGGAAGACACCAGCAGGGATAGGGTGAGGGGGGACAGGAGGTAAAGACATGGCAAGGACTCAGCTCCAAGATGGGCAGAAGCCAACGGGAAGAGCCAACAGCTCTTGTGCGATGAAAGGAAGCCATGGTCTAATTCTGAGATCTTTCCTTTAGGATGTGGACTGTGCCTACATGACCAAAGTTGAGTTGGAAGCCAAGGTGGGAGCTCTGACAGACGAAATCAACTTCCTGAGGTGCATCTATGAGGAGGTAGGAGCTCTCTCCTATTGAGGGACTGGTATTACAATGAGGAGGCCAAACATTGAGGTTGGATGGGGTGTCTGGGTGGATTTATGCCTCTGGATGGTGGATGGTGCCTCTGACTCATGTCTTGGTTGCAGGAGCTGTCTCAGATGCAGACGATCAGCCGGGACCTGTCCGTGGTGGTGTCCATGGACAACAACCGGCACCTGGACCTGGACAGCATCATCGAGGAGGTCCGGCGCCAGTACGAGCAGATCGCTCAGAACAGCCGGGCTGAGGCTGAGGCCTGGTACCAGAGCCGGGTGAGTTGGGAAGGGCTCAAGGCTCCTGGGACAGTCCCCACTGTTTGAACCACCTGAGGTTTTGGTCTGCTTTGTTCCTCATGGGTGTCCTTGTCCCCACTTCTCCAGTATGAAGAGCTCCAGAGCACAGCTGGCCGGCATGGGGACAACCTCCGCAACACCAAGATTGAGATCCAGGAGCTGTCCAGGAATGTCCAGAGGCTGCGGACAGAGATTGAGAACGTGAAGAAGCAGGTGGGGGTTGGCCAGTGTTTCACGGGTTCTGTTTTCCCTCTTGTTTGTGCCATGATGATGCTCCAGTAGAGGGCAGGCAGAGGGAATTAGGAAATTTACTTTCTTCTCCCCAGAACCATCATCTGCAGTCAGCCATTGCTGAGGCTGAAGAGAGGGGGGAGATGGCCACCAAGGATGCCAGGAGGAAGCTAGAAGAACTGGAATGTGCTCTGAGCAAGGACAAGGAGGAGCTGGCTCGCCTGCTGAAGGAGTACCAGGAGCTGCTGAACATCAAGATTGCACTGGATGTTGAGATTGCCATGTACAGGAAGCTCCTGGAGGGAGAGGAGAACAGGTGAGACCTCCTACCATTGGCTGGGCCAGAGTTCTGTCTCACCGTGGATCAAATTCATCTTTAACCATCCCTCACAACAAATTTAACATTAAAATTTGATTACTTTCCTTTTTTCCTCCAAATTTTGAAGCCTAAACAGAAACATGGTTCCCATGGGGAGTACTTCTCAGGCGTCTTGATTGATCTTATATGAAACACGATATAAATGGAATATCTGGGGAATAGTTTTGCTTCTGACTGTATACAGATTTACAACTGATGTTCCTCTCCCTACACAGGCTCTGCTTAGAGAACCCCTCCAATGTGAATGTCTGTAAGTATTCGCACATTGTTTTCTCTGCTGAATTACCTTTATCCTTGGTTTTGTAAACATTCCCAGGATGTTGCCTGGTGTTCAGCGAGCCTCTCCCTCTCTTCCAGCTGTGGTGGGCAGAAGCACCGTGTGCGGAGGCAGATCTGCCAGCTTTGGAGCCAGCAATGGCCTGAGTGCAGGAGGCGTGTGCACGGTTGGTGGCCCGAACATCATTGGCGGCAGCTGCGGGATGGGAGCAGGGATTGTCAGCGGAGGCTTCTCCTCCGGGAGCGGGAGGATGTGCAGCACTGCAGGTGGCAGCTTCATGGCCGGGGGAGGCTCCTCCTCTGTGCGGAGATGCGTCACCACCACGACGGTCAAATCCTCCGGGGTCAAATACTGAGCCCTCATGTCTGTCCTCCCAGGGAAAGCAGCACCTTCCTCTTCCTCCCGCCAGCAGCACAGCCTCTTCCATCCCCATCGGTATTCAGGAGGAAAGAAACTGTTTCTGGGGGAAATCTCCCCAAAGTGAGATTGAAATCAAGACACATCCCTCTGGCCCAGCCTGGCTCTCACTGAGCCCCACTGGGGTGAAACATCTCACTTGTGGGTCCCCAGCCCTGCAGAGCTCCCCGGCGCTGCTGCACCAGCTGAGGAGTAGCAGTGGAAAACTGCTCTTTCCTGTCACTTTTTAAGGCCTGTGTTTCCCTTGCATCCCTCATGGGTCCCCCTCATCCTGCTCCAGCTGTGTCAGGAGCCCACATAAACAGAAGGAAGGAGATGATGCCCCATAGTCAGATTCAGGAGTGAGAAACAGGTGTCTGGAGTTGTCCACCTTCCCCAGGTGGAGTAATTTGGCAGCTTTAATGTTTTACGGATCCTTTTCCCTCCTCTCCTTCCTGCCTGGAGTGCGTGGCCCTGTTTCCCCCCTCTGTCGTGTAAATCAGCTGCTTCCTGCCGGTGCCCTGGCCCCAGGGTCATTCAGTACCAATAAATTGCAGAGATATAAAGATATTTTTGTGTTGTCTCATCACTTTATGCTCCCCAGCAGAGGAGAAACACGAGTTTGCCCTGGGCCAGGGTGATTGCAGGGCAAACACAAACTGAACTGAGAAGGAATTGAGAGCAGGCCTGAGAGAAGGACTTGGGTTGCTGGTGGGTGACAGCTGGACCTGCCCCAGCCCAGAGACCCACGAACCTGGGCTGAGACCCCAACATGAGCAGCAGGGGAGGGGCTGTTCTGCTCTGCTCAGGTGAGACCCCACCTGCAGAGCTGCTCCAGCCCTGGGGAAGGAGGTGGAGCTACTGGAGAGAGTCCAGAGGAGGCCACAGAGCTGCTCTGAGGGCTGGAGCTCCTCTGGGGCCAGGCTGGAAGATCTGGGGGTGCTCACCTTTAGAGAAGAGAAAGGAGACCTTTGAGACCCTTCCAAGGGGCTCCAGGAGAGCTGGAGAGGGACTTGGAAAGGGAATGATGGGACAAGAGGTGATGGCTTCAAAATGGAAAAGAGGAGAGTCAAATGAGATGTTGGGAAGGAATTCCTCCCTCTGAGAGGGATGAGGCACTGGAATGGGCTTCCATGAGATTGCCCCAACCCTGGAAGTGTCCAAGGCCAGGCTGAATGGGACTTGGAGCAATCTGGGACAGTGGAAAGTGTTCCTGCCCATAGCAGAGGGTGGAACAGCATGACCTTTAAGATCCTGTCCAACCCAAACCCTTCCATGATCCTATTTCGAGCTGATTTAGATGATCTTGTGGGAACGTCAAGGTGTTTCCTTGGGCATCACCCTGAGAACTAGGATTCATTATTCCCATTAGGGCTTGGGCTGGCTGGAGGTGGGTGGGAGCTTGGAGCAACCTGGTCTAATGGAAGGTGTCCTTGCCCATTGTGGAATCCTCTGAATCCTCCCACTCAGGGAAATCCCCAGGGCCTTGCCTTGGAAGAATATATCATAGAGTTTTCCCCACTCAGGCTGAAAGAGAGGACTCAGCCCATGGTGCTCTGCAGCACTACTGCCAATCTACATCAGATTGCCTCCCCCATTGGCCAGTTGACACTGCCCACCCCAATTATTCATTCCTCATTGCCCCTACAGGTTGCTGCCCTTGGCCCTGCCCTTTGCCCACCCCTGTGCCCTCAGGTCACTGGTCACTGACCCCATATTGGTCACTGACCCCACGCTATTTTGTCTTCATCTCTGATCCCTTTGGTGTGGTGGATGTAATAAATCTTCTCTGGAGCACATAATGCAAAGGCCCTTCCTCTCTTTCCTCTCCTGAGCTATCTGTGGGGTGTGTGTGTGTGCATGGACTGGAAGTGGCTGTTCGTGTCGCCTTTCTCAGAGCAGCTTCTGAAGGAAGTGTCTCAAAAAACGTTGCAGCATTTCTACCACCCTGCCACTCTGCACCAGCCCACGGCAGGGGTGGAACTGCATGGGCTTCCCACATTCTGTGATCATCACATTGCAGCTCCTGCCATGGAGGAGTCTCCAGTGGGGGGCTGGAGCCAGGGTGAGGAGGATAAATCCTCCCCAGGGCTGGCACAAGGATGAGCAGCACCCTCTACCTGTCTGGCTGGGCTCTTACACCAGCTCCCGTGAGCGGTGGGAAGGTCTGACAACTCTGAGTGGACACAAATTACTCACAAAGGAAAAAAAAAAACAAACAAACAAAAGCATGAAAGAGTAAGTCAGAGCCCAGAACCTGCCATCAGAGCTCCAGGTTGCCCAGCCAGCTTAGTCATTAGCCCTCTCCAAATGACATCCCACTGCAACCAAATTAATTTGATTAATGCTTCACTGGATTCTTCTGTAGCTCTGGGAGGAGCAAGAGATGAATCAGCCCTGACTTCTCAGCAATGTGTGTGATGGGGGGTGGGACCAGATGGGATTTAAGATCCTTTCCTACTTCAGCCATTCCATGATTCTATGATTGATCTGGCACAGAAAAAATATGGAAATGAAGATCAATGTTGTCAAGTCCTTATCATCTAAAGGAGCAAAATAAGGATGAAATTATTGCTTTCATTTGAACCAGAGTTACTTTCCTGCTGTTTTTCTTATTTACCCCCAAATTTCCTTCCAGTTCACCCTCCTGACTTCTGAAGGATGTTTACACCAGGCTGCAATGTGTCTTATCCTGCTGTTTGAGTCAAAAATAACATTTCTGATTCTAAAATTCGTAAGTTGGGATGGGAAAGATGAAAAAGTCATAGCCCTCTTCTTTATCCCAGGGAAGAGTCTGAAATAATCTCCTTCTTCCTCATCCCAGGGAAGAGTCCAGAGACAGAAATGGACCCAGGTGGTTCAAAGCCCAGGAGTGTCCTGGGGACACCCTTGGGAAGGTGGCAGAGAGGACAGTGATCTCCAGCCTGTTGAAGCCCTGGAAGCCAAAGGTGCTGACACCATCCTGCCAAAAACCACGGGATTTTTCTGAGTTCCCTGAGCTTTTCCTGGAGAGGAGCCAAGAGGTGCCGGGGTTTATCATTCCCACCTGCTGCACTCATGAAAAAGGGAGTTGAAGGAAATTGCTCCAGTGCATCGTGCTGGGATGAAAGGGTTGGGATCCCCTTTGCCTGCTCGGTGGGGCACTGTGAGAGCTGCTGGATCCCATCCAGGGATGCCATGAAAGACCCCGAGGGGCTGGAGCATGTCCAGAGACAGGAACAGAGCTGGGGAAGGGCTGGAGCACAAGGAGAAGGGTCTGGAGAGCTCCCGAGGAGCAGCTGAGGGAGCTGGGGAGGCTCAGCCTGGAGAAAATGAGGCTTTGGGGAGACCTTCTCACTCTCCAGAACTCCCTGAAAAGAGGGAGCCAGGTTGGGGTTGGAGGGCAGGGAGAAGTTACTGCTCCTCTGGGGTCAGGGCTGTGCAGGATCTTTTGCATTAGAACATGGGAAGAAACTGAATTGGTGCCGTGTTTTATGAGCTCCTTAGGAAGTTAACCCAAGTGGGATTTTATTGGCTGTAATTAGGGCTGGAATGAGTTTTTAATTGTTACTAATCACGTTTATGGTGGGAGGGCCTCATAAGCCACCATGTTGTTTGCCCTGGGTGGGTCATTGTGCAAACATGGAGGAGACTCCCCCAGTTTGGGCTTGCTGGAGAGCAGGAAATATTTGCTTTTGTGAAAAGCACTGGTTTGTCACCTGGGAGGAGACGACCCTCTGCATCCTCTAGACTGGGGTTTACCTGGCACACTTCTCCTGAGCAGCTGGAGTCCTTTGGGATCTTGAGGATGGGACATTCAGGGGAAGGAATTAAGGAGCAGAGAGATTAAAGGAGGTTAAAATTGGGGATCAGCATCCTTTGGTCCCCTCTCTGCACTTCAAACAGCAACACTGCCAGTTCTGTCACCTCCAACTCGACTGGCCTAAAAACCAGCTCAGATGCACACTAGGAAACCCTCTGACCTCCTCAAGAGAGACCAAAATCAGCAGCTTATGGAAACAGTGACAGCTACAGAGAATCTCGGCTTGGGAGGAGGTTTAAAACTCCTGTGGGCAAATATATTGACAAAGGTACCTAAAGCTGTGCAGCTTCTGAAGAAATTTAGCTAAGGGAAGCTCTTCCCTTTGCTTTCCACATTAGGCTCCTGATGTTTAGTCCTGAACACTCCATCACTTCCTTTCCTGCTCTTTGGACCCTGCCTTGGATTCCTTGTGAGTGAATCCACTGCCAGGCTCCAGCAGTGGCTTGTGCTGGGATCCAGAGGAATCTGTGTCCCAGAACATCATCTATGTCTGTGCAGAAAAATTTGGGCCTTTCATCTAATTAATATTCACCTCAGCTTTGCTTGGACAGGTTGAGCTGACATCTGAGCACTTTTCCTGCTGGACTTGGCCCCTATTGGATGCTGACCCTGCTCCTCTGAATGCAACAGCTGCTGCCACCCAGCCCCATGACCTGGATGAGCTGCCTGGGAATGCGGTGCCTCCCGCTCCCTCCCTGTTCCATCCAGGGCTGCCTCAGCTCCAGCTGGGACAGGTAGAGCCAGATTTGCACAACTTATGGCAACTGCATCATCCACACCTGCTGCTGACAGAGACCATTCCTCCTCTTCCTCCTCCCACCCATTGGGATGGTGGTGCTTCCTGAGCTTCATCTTCCTTCCACACTCCCTAGTTTTGTCCTTGGAGTGGGATGATATTCCACAAGGTCTTCAGGCGGGACTCCAAAACTCACATTATATGACCAATTCTCTTGGAGCATGGGTTGAATCAATTCTACCTCTCCCATGGCCTGGGGACTCAGCTGGTCTGGTGGGGGTGGACACAGCCACAAAATGTCACAAAATGTCACTGGAAGGTTTGGAGCCTGTGCAAGGGAAAGTTCTCTGACACAGCTGAATCTGATGGTGGCCTCCAGGTGCTGCTGTGACCCCTGAACCTGTCAGTGACCTCCAGACGC